CATTTTCTGGCAGAGAAGCAATCGATGACGACCATGACTTATCTTACGTCACGATTGTTGGCGGAGAAGGCTATTTCCGGTCCCTCGAGAAGCAATTAGAGGATCAACGTCGGTAGATTCGCAAACCTCAAAGGCTCTTCCTACAATTTCAGTGACTTGGCCTAATAGATCTTCGTTTCCTAAAGTAATTCTGTAACATCCCACATCGACCAACAGAGAGGGGGTGATGTGCTTTATATGTACATGCCCACCTCCATCTAGTACGAGGCCTTTTTGGAGCTCACTGACTTCGAAGTCATGGAAACTCCGAAGTTAAGCGAGTTGGGGCTAGAGCAATCCCACGATGGATGACCCACTGGGAAGTGTTCATGAGTTCCTAGAAACAAAACTATGAGGGCAGAGAGGGGGGCCCCAAAGTGGACAATATCGTGCTATGGCGGAGCAAATCCCGAGATGTGACAAATTCAAAATCTATGCTGATTATTGTGCTGGTTTTTAATCTGGTGTGGTCTGGTTTTAATGTTATGCGATTGAATTACTTGGTGTAGGGGCTTTTTTTCTTTCGGCACCAAGTGGGCTGGGATGCTGTAAAAAGCAATCTGATGCAAGTGTCCCCTTGTGTCTGAGTTCGAAGATCAAGCCCCAAGGATGTCTCGAAAGGGTGATGATGCCTTAGGAAACTCCTTGGTTACCTTCACCAATGAAAATGACAACAAATTACAGATAAATATTCTAACTTGGCATGAGTGACTTATGGCATGGGAGCAACAATTATCATGGGTTTAGCACTTTAGGAGAGAGAGATGTGGGTTCCTATGAGGTACAGAGGTTCTAATGGAGAGGGAGAGAGGTTCTAAGGAGGTTTGATGAAGAGGGAGAAGGATGGTGAAGAGTTTTGGGTGACTTTCGCAGTTTCCGGCAGCTTGACAGTGACTCTGTCAAAGCTTCTGTCAATATTCCAAAACAGGGGAAATAAAGGAAAATGAGGAAGGATAGCACGAAAATTCCTGGGTTTGCATGTGAGAGAGAAAGCTTGCTCTCTGAAGGTTGTGGGTTGTGTTGTGTTGGGTAGAAGGGGTCCTATTTATAGTTGCTGGGAATGGGTCTTCTCCAAGAAACCCTAATGGTTTCTTTCTAATCTAGCTAAGCTTTCCTCTTCCTTTCTTCTCCTCTTTCTTGACTTACCTCATGGAGGCAAAAATCAGTTCTGTCCAATCCCACAAAATCAGAGATTTTTTGGAGCTCGAGGCTTCTTCCAGTAGCGGCTTCAGAAGAGAGCTTCCATTTTCACCCATCTTCTTTCTCTCCTTTCCTCCTCCTTTCATGGCCAAATCTGATAAAGGAAAGAAAATGGGTGCGCCTGCTGGTTTAAGGGATAACATCTTCCCCTGCGTGCTAATACCCCTTGGTTTCTTGAATGCTTGCACTTGAAACTTGTTCTCCCAGCAGCCCCTCACATGTGAATCTTTGGCTTTCTTCGTGGACTTCTGCTTCAGCCAAGTGCTGAAGGCCTTGGACTCCTTTTATTCAAATGGTATGGGCCCTTTAATATAGAAGGCCAAGTCATCTAATAAGTGGGTTAAATTCACCAAGTATTTGGGCTTTATGGGTTATCTAAAGTAATGGGTTATTTTGGTTGGGCTACTCTAGTTGAAGCAATTGGGCTATTTCCTCTCTTGTGCTTACCCACGTTTGAGCCTAAGAAAATGGGCTTGAGTCCCGAGGCCCCCAAGCGACCCGAGACTTCCATTTCTCGGCCCATCAATGGGCCCCATGACAATTCGTTACCATCCATACCACAACCCACTCAAGCAAGCCCCGGGCATTTGAGTGGCTTGGGCCCACTTAAGCTTGTAGGGCGATTGGGTGTGAAATAATAATTTCCCGCTTGGCATGGCATGTTGCTTGGCATGCTTTTAAATATGGCGCTTTATAGGATAATTGGCATGGATTTGCAGAGCTAAATGTATTTTATAATTTTAATCTCAATTCCTAGCTCGACGGATTTTTTATTTAGCATGGCGTGCGGAGTATGACTCGTGTATGTCATACTTTCATGTGCTCCAAATCGGATCTTTTTCCAATAATATATCGTTTTGGGCTAGAAATTTATTCTGGCCCAACCATGGATTTTTTGGGCCTCAACATTAGCCCCCTTAATTATTAGGGCCATGGATAAGTGCTGGAATGGGCCGAATAATTAAACCCGACCCAAAAATCAAATTTATACGCTCCAGCAACGATTTGTGGTTTCCTAATCTGGATTGTTTTTGCTGTTTTGTAGAGATTGCTTTGGATTGCCAAGAATTGCTTCCCCATCTTGTCTGAATTTATGATTATGCCACTGAGTTTGCATGTATTTACATTTCTGCCCCCAATCTTGCTTGAATCTACTATTCCGCCACCACCTTTGCTTATATTTCGAATTCTGCCATGACTTTTGCTTGGATTTAGGGTTCTGCCACAATTCTGTTTTCCTCATTTGGTTTCTTCTTTCTTTTCTTTCCTCTTCCGTGTCTTCTTTCTTCTTCTTCTTCAAGAATCCAAACCCGTGGGTACTATTCATCAATTTAGAAGCTCTATTTCGGAAGTTCTAATCAAAAAAACTTTCTTCATGAAAGTTGTTCATCTACTCGAGGACTAAAGCCTGTAAACTTTTGAGAATTTTCTGAATTTTTCTGATGCCTTAAAACGGGTCCGCAGCTTCTGTATTCATCAATGGCTGGTGAGTTTCTGCATATTCGGTTTCTGCACTTGTTTTTAATATCTATTACTCTGGTGACTATGCTTGCTTCATGAAATTTGCTTGAGATCGGGTTGATGTTGATTGATGTATGCATATGGATTGATATTTCTAAAGTATTGTAGTGTTCTCTGCCCTCATTTTTCTAAAATATGCATATGGATTGATGTTGATGACTTTAATGCATGCTTGTTTTCTTGAAGCTTGAGTTCCTTTGTATTTCTCAAAATTTGTGAATTAAGCACTGAATTCTGTGGTTGAGCTTGTGATTTAGTGTTTCAGCTTGGTGATAAACAAGACTCATACAAGCTCCCCTTGAATAATGCATGCCAAGTGTTTGTGATAAGTAACTCATAGTAGCTTGCTGGCTGTTTTGTGAACTTTTGAAAACTTTCTTTTCGAATCTAAGCTGGAGCTTTTGATACATGAAAATAGACTTCTCAATGGTTGTGTTGGAACTGGTCTTGTGTCATTTGAAGCAAAAATGAATTTTTGGAGTAATTTCAAAGTATGGGGCTAAGCTGCTGGGGTTGTGCAATTCCTGCTGCATGACATGTTTTGGGAATCTGTTTGGAAGCTTTCCCTAACTCCAAATGTAATGAAATTTTCGGAAAATGAAGCTTGATATGTCTAGTTCTAATCTGGAAAGTTTGGGATTTGTTGGTTGTAAGCTTGATTTATAGTGATTTTCTAAAGGTGGGATGTTCTAGCTAGGATAGTTGGAAAGCTTGTGTATAAGTTTTGCTTGGCATGCTGCTTTTTGTTGAGAATTTGGCATGTCCTTTTTGTTGGCATTGAGTGCTGATCTGAGTATTGCTAGAGCATGTTCTTGAGCAATATTGTTGTGACAGCATGATGTTGAAAGGTATTGTCATAAGAGCATGAGTTCTTCAATTTTCTTGAAATGCCCGAATTGCTTGGAATGCTTGAATGGAATGAAATTTCTTGGCATGTGGATTGGTTTCAAGCCTTGTGAATTTTGTCAAATGCTTGATACATGAGTTTGCTTGCATTATGAGAAAATTATGCTTCTGGCGCCTCCATTTGTGTATGAGTACCTTTCCGGCTTCTGATTTTGGCTAAAGTATTCTTTTGTTTAGAAACTCCAAAGCATGAGAAAGCATGAGAAATATAATTTTCTAGGATTTTGATAGCATGAAAGTGAGTTTTGGTCTCTTGCCACTTGTCTTTTAAAAAAATATGTTTCAATAGCGATTATGCTTCCGGTGCCCCCTTTTCGTTTACAAGTTCCCTTCCAGCACCTGATCTGACCAACGTACTCCCTTATTTCTTTTTCAGGCTTGATTGAGAGATTCCACAACATGAGAAATGCCATCTTCTTACTAATTTGCAAGGAATTTGGTAGCATGAAGGTGAGTTTTGGTTGCTTGCACCTTGACTTGCGATATGAAGGCTTTTGGAAGATTTGAAACTGGCAGAATGTTTGAAATTAGGCATGTACTGGAAAGATGTTTGAAATAGGGTAGGTGCTAAAAATTCTTTGCTTATGGAGTAGGTGCTAGAAGAATGTAACTTGGCTTGTTTCAAAAAGGGGAAATAGAAAATTGTTTCTCACCATAATGCAAGATTATCTAGGCTTGTTGTAATCAAAGAGATGATTTATACTGTGTGGCAAAAAAGGTAGATGGGTTTGCTTGTTTGGATGGCATGGTGTCCTTCCTTGAATTTGCTTGGCATGAAGCCCTCAAGTCAGCTTGTTGAGGTCAGCAATTGGTTGCAGAGTTGGGTTATATTCTCTTTGGCTTACTCAGGGTCGAGAAACAAAGTAGAGGCCTGCTTGTAAATTTTTTTTATTTTTTTTTTTTTTTTTTGCAACTTGCTTCAAAGAAGATCTTTGGAAGAAGTAGACTGAAGATGAGAAGGAAGAGGCTAAGCGAGTTGTTGGAAGAGATTCATACAGCTTGTTTTCCTCCAGATAAGTAACAAACAGTTTGCTTTCCTCAAAGAGGAAAACTGAAATTTACAACAGCTTCAGGATTCTTGTCTCTCTCTTTTGCTTGGCATGAAGCCCCCAAGTCAATTGGAGTTTGCATGTGCTGTTTGCTATGATGGATTCTCTTAAGCCCCCATAAGCCTTTCGCAAGATGTTTTGTCTGAAAAGCTTTAAATTTTGCTGTAGTGCAATTGCATGAATAAAGCTTGTGATTTTTCAGGAGTTGTCGTATAGCCATGAGAAGAAGTTCTTGCAAGTATTAGTTGCCGAAGTATCCATCTTCAGAAAGACCAATTCTTAAGTATGCCTGAAAATAATGATGGTGCCAAAGTCTGCGCAGAAAAACATGGGGATAATTGCAATGATGGGTCAGCTGGTTGCATAAATAATGAGATCAACAATGGTGATGAAGGAGATGGTAACGTGAAATAGAAGATACGATATTCTTTTAGCACCAACTACCCTTCTCCCGGCACCTACTACCCTTCTTCCAGCACCAACCTCTTCTTTTGGTGCATTTGAGGTCGTCCTTTGAGGTGATTGACAAGGTATGCCCTTTCCTCTTTGCAATTTCTTGAATCTATCGAGGGGCTTGTTGGGTTCTTCATGCCCATGGGCTTTGCTCGTTCACTGGAATCTCAGGTCCTTCTTTTTAACTCTGTAGGAATAGATATAGACTGATATCTTGGCCTAGGCTTGTTTTTCGCATGCTTGAATAAATTTGGACTTTTCTCCCATGTTGTGGAAATAGAAATTGACAGAGTGCATGCTCTGCAATGCTTGAATCCTTTTGCATTTTGAGGGAGAATTTGCTTGTCATGGGAATTGCTTGAAAATTTCGTTTGCCATGGATAAATTGTATGCTGCTTGGGTATTTGCTTAAGTGTTTCCTTTGGCCTGAGCTTGACTTGCCCTGCTTGGCGTATATTTTGCGTGTGCTGCGTTCTTGACCCGCTTTTTTGTTGTTGAACTATATGCATCACGAGCGCATGCTTGTAATCGTATGATTAATGCATAGGATTAGAGGCTATTGAAAGCTTTGAGAAAAGCACCATTGGTTTCTTTTTTTTTTTTTTTTTTTTTTTATGAGCTTAGAATTTGGTCATGGATAACTGTTTATTTTTTTGGCTTTATAGGGATAGACATAAACATGTGTATGATGGGTTTGCAAGGATGTGTAACTCGTAGGTATTTCGTTTTTGTGAAAAAGGTTACTATGAGGTAAATAGTGCTCAGTTTGTAGCACTTGCTTTGTGAAAAAAGGTCTGCTGGAATGATTGATTGAGCATGGAATGGGAAATTTGCTTATCATGAGCTCGAGTAATAGATTGCATGATGCTTCAAAAATATTTTTTTTTGTTTATGCATTTCGCTTGGCATGAGATAGCTTGCTTTGCTTGGCTTGTAAAGTTCATATGGCTTGCATGCTAGTGTGGAGATTGCTTGGCTTTAACACAGAGAACTAGCTTTATGCTTTGCCGTTTTTTCAGCGTATTCTTTGTTGGCAATTCTTGCAGGGATTCACGCTTGTCAAGACCTGCCATGGCATCCACTAACCCGTCGTCAATTATTAGTGGCCACCTTTATTCAACGGATGATAAATTGAAGAGGGGAAGGCCCCTCCATTGCTCAAGAATGCTTGTGAAGATGTTGCAGTAGGCGAAGAGCCAGTGTCGTCTTGCTGCGTTTGTATCATTATGGCTCGGGAAATTCCTCCTCTGTGACTTTTTCCAAGATTGTTTGCATGCGCAGGTGTTCCCCTTGGCTTTAGCAATAGCGCATGGCGGCATGATTCCCATAGCCCCCATGTTCTTGGGACATCCGATGCAGGGGCAGACAATGCCCTGCTCCTTCTAGCAGTGCTGCCTCATACTCCTCCTCTTCTCGGAACATCCGACATGGCTGCTGACACTGCCCTGCACCTTCCAGTAGTACTACCTCCTACTCATCCTCTTATCAGAATATGCGACATAGCTGCCGGCGCTGCCTTGCATCTTCCAGCGTGCTGCCTTCTACTTCTCCTCTTCTCGGAACATCCAACATAGCTGCCGGCACTGCCCTGCACCTTCCAGCAGTGCTGCCTCCTACTCATCCTCTTCTCAGAACATGCGACATAGCTGCCGACGCTGCCTTGCATCTTCCAACGTGCTGCCTTCTACTTCTCTTCTTCTCAGAACATCCAACATAGCTGCCGGCACTGCCCTGCACCTTCCAGCAGTTCTGCCTCCTACTCATCCTCTTCTCAGAACATGCGATATAGCTGCCGGCGTTGCCTTGCATCTTCCAGCGTGCTGCCTTCTACTCATCCTCTTCTCAGAACATGCGACATAGCTACCGGCGCTGCCTTGCATCTTCCAACGTGCTGCCTTCTGCTTCTCCTCTTCTCGGAACATCCAACATAGTTGCCGGCACTGCCCTGCCCCTTCCAGCAGTGCTGCCTCCTACTCATCCTGTTCTCATAACATGCGACATAGCTGCCGGCGCTGCCTTGCATCTTCCAGTGTGCTGCCTTCTACTCATCCTCTTCTCAGAACATGGGACATAGCTGCCGGCACTGCCCTGCACCTTCCAGCAGTGCTGCCTCCTTTTATTTCGCAGGTTGTTTTCTTTGGATTGGGGTCAGTTGGCTCGGTGCACAGCTTCCATCTTTCTTGATATCATAGGATGTACTAATCTTCAGCATGTGTAACTTTGTTTTTCCGATGGCTGTGTACTTTTCAGATAATCTAATGACTATGTCATTATGACTTTGTAATGTATTACTGAACCACTGGAACTTGCATTAATTTCTGAATGCATGAGGCATGTTGTAATCTGTACATCTTATATATATATATGTATATATATATATTGCTTGGTTGGGAGAACTTGCTCTTGTGAACTTCTTGAAATTTTCTGACAAGTTGGCAAGCCTTAAAAACAAGCTATATGCTGCCCAAAATTTTGACAGGACCTTTAAGCTAAATCTTCGATGCATTGCTCTTTAAAACTTTTGCAAGGCTCGTGTACTCATTTGGCCTAAAATGCACCCTCTTTCCGTGCCTTAAAAGGGTCAGGCCACTGTATGCATGATTTCCACAAAGGCTCCTGTAAGAATTGCCGGATGTTGTGAAGTTTTTTTAGCATTCCGATTGGGAGTCAACGGTTTCGTTATTCCAGCGCCTCAAAATACACTTTTACTGCTCGTTTCTTTGTAATAGCTTGACTTTGCATACCCCACATCGTTTTGCTTAGGCTTGATGCTTGTTTCAGTTCGGGACCCCATCTAAGTGGCTTTGCTTGGTATAGTTACTGCTGAGAGGCTTAGCCTTTTAATGAAAAGTTTGTTTGTCTATTTTTTTTTATCAAAGAACATGTTTTGTAAAACAGAATAAGATAAAAGCAAGGAAGAATTCTAGAGGCTTTTTCCTCTTCCAAAATACTCCATTCTCATTGCAAATATCGTCTTACACCTCGGCATGCTATAATGGTGGTGCATTTTACAAAAGTTGTGAAAGCATAGGGTGAAAATACATAAGGAGTTCATTTTTGAAATAAATTTGAAAAGCCAAAAACAAAATGATAGGTGCAAAAGCAATTCATCAATAATAAGACCTTGAGCCACTTTGCATTGATGAATACTCCAATCAAATCAAGCCCCCCAAATATGAAAGGGCCCAAGGTTGTGCATGACTTGCAATAGCATGAAAGCTTGTGGCTTAGGTTGGCATGTATTTGGCATGTGTTGTACTAGGATGCCATGCTCTGTAGGGATATTTAACAGAACCACAGTTGCTGCTTTGCTTGCCTGCAGCTCATAACCCAACTAATCAAAGAGTGATTTTCAGCTCCTAACCCATTGTACTTTCTTCAACCTCTGTGAAGTTATGAGAGGTTACAGCAGCTGCTTCTTGATAATCTTAATGACCAAATGAAGCCTCCGAGTGGCTTTCTTCCAGCATGTCCAATGTGAATACTTCACTGCTGGAGCCATTCTCTCATCCATTAGAAAGTAGCCATGAGGTGTTATAGCTTGCAGATTTTGAATATTTGCTCCAGTTGGCCTTCTTCATATTTCCACAAGGTTCCCACATAGCCTCCGGTGGCTTTGGGTCATTCTTCCACGGGTGGCACAATACGTCGTCGTCGAGCAAGTCATCAAAGCACGTAATGACAGTAGCCATTTACTTTTCCCTTTGTTTTGGCAAGGGGTCCTTGTCAATAGCTTGCCTCTTAGAGTTCTGTCATGTATCTTGACGTGTAAGATCTTCCTTAGAGTATGGCAAGCTGTGGTGGATGTTGCAGGTGAAGAATGGATGAATATAGGAAAATACACTTCCAGCACCCCTTTTCTTGAAAGCTTGACATTGCTTCAAAAATTCTGATTGCTTGGTAAAATAAACTTCATCTTGACAACATTTTGGTTCTTCCAGCAGTATCATAGCACTACCTTAGTAATATTTTCCTTTCATTTGCCCTGAATTGAGATGTTTTCCTTCTTGAGTAAAGCATAGTGCTTGGATTTCTTGACTAAGGCTCGGGGCTTGATGATGCTTGATTATGGAATTGTGGCAATTGAGACATCCTGATAGCCTTTTGGTTTTGACTCCTAAACTTGGTCATTGGAATGGTCAAGGCTTAGAAAGTGCTTGAGGCGTTGGAGCATATCAGTTATGGCAACTTAGGTATTGTTTGTTGCAGCTGTTGTGAACATGTTTTAGGAACCAAAAGCTTGGACTTGGTTATTGAAGCTTGAGCTTTATATGTGGTCACTGCAGCAAATGTGTTGGGTTACAACAACAAGTGATGGCGAACTTGGAGGTCATAGTAACATAATTGGGATTTCAAGGAGATTTTTGGTCTGGGAATAGTGGTTTTGGTAATAATGGGTTTTTAAGCTCATTTGGGGTTTTGGAATCGCTGCTGTGGTGATTGCAATGAATTCCTTCCTCAGCCCCCAAGTGCACCATAATCATCAGAAAAGGATTTGATGGGCATAGGCTACAAAAACTCTTGCAACATGGCCTTCTTAGTATTTGTTTGGGTCATTGCATGGCATGATGAACTTGGGATATCCCTTTGTTGCAACGGTGACAGTTTGGCCTGATTCGGTGGTAGCATGTGCTTCTGGCAGTGGCTCTTCCAGCAGTGGTGTTTGGATTTTGACTGGCTCTGTTCTTCTTCCACTCTTCCAGCGGCTCTTTCAGTGGTGCTTGAACTTCTATGACTGGAAGTATAGAGAGAGATTTGTCTAAGGAATGGATGATAATGGCAGTGTGTTGAGATGTTGGGTAGGAAACATGAGAGCATTTGTTTTCTTGTTTGTTGTTTGGAGGCTTGGGTCCTTTGCACATGACCGATATAATGCTGCATGACCAAAGCATAAAAATAATATAAGCATTGTAGCTTGCAAATGACTAACATAATTGACATAAGCATGCTGAGCAGGTATGATTTTAGTACTGAGCATGCATAGTTGGCATCTACATTGCAATGTGTAACTTGGATTGATTAACACAAAGGTGGATCGATACGAAATGATAAGAAGTAAGATAAGTGAATAGTGCGTGGAATAAGGCCCTGAGAAATTTTGCTAGAGAGCAAAATTGAAAGGTGGTTTAATACATAACAAGAAAATGATGCAAGCTGGTGTACCATATGAATAACAACTAATCAATCAATCTTTTTTTTTGGACTTGAATGCACATGCTTTTGTCTATGCTTGAGATTGTTCAATGAAACATAAATTTTATGGATATCTTAAAACAACAAACAAATATATATGCTATATTGAGATCAACAAGGCATGATAATAAAAATCTTATCTTGGTGAAGCCATTCGCAGAGATGAGGTTGAGAGCATTGAGCAAGTGTTCCTTCTCCCTCTCTTACCGTGTTTTCACAACTCTAGAGAGGTGAGGGCTGCTATGAAGGTGATTTACGGCGATGGCCAGACTTGCTGATGATGTATCATGGCGGAGAGGTGAACGGCAGAGCTAGCCTCAACAATTGACGACGGTGGTCAGCGGCTTGCACGTTGGCTGAAGCCCCCAGTCCTCTTACAAGATCTTGTTTTGCTTGAGAATGGAGATCTAAGACACAAGCAAAGGGAGCATGTGAGTAATCTATATTATGTTTGTTCTACAAAGTAGATAGCCAACAAAAGGAAAAAGAAAAAGAAAGAGGGAATGCTCTTATCTCTTTATTTCCTCCGGTTTATTGCTTCTGGTCTTCTTCTTTGGAGGCATTGGTGCAGATAGTGGCTTAATCCCCAGCAGAGTCGCCAATTTATGTAAGGGCTTTTTTTCTTCCGGCAGCAAGTGGGCTGGGCTGCTGTAAAAACCAATCTGATGCAAGTGTCCCCTTGTGTCTGAGTTCGAAGATCAAGCCCCAAGGATGTCTCGAAAGGGTGATGATGCCTTAGGAAACTCCTTGGTTACCTTCACCAATGAAAATGACAACAAATTACAGATAAATATTCTAGCTTGACATGAGTGACTTATGGCATGGGAGCAAAAATTATCATGGGTTTAGCACTTTAGGAGAGAGAGATGTGGGTTCCTATGAGGTACAGAGGTTCTAATGGAGAGGGAGAGAGGTTCTAAGGAGGTTTGATGAAGAAGGAGAAGGATGGTGAAGAGTTTTGGGTGACTTTCGCAGTTTCCGGCAGCTTGACAGTGACTCTGTCAAAGCTTCTGTCAATATGCCAAAACAGGGGAAATAAAGGAAAATGAGGAAGGATAGCACGAAAATTCCTGGGTTTGCATGTGAGAGAGAAAGCTTGCTCTCTGAAGGTTGTGGGTTGTGTTGTGTTGGGTAGAAGGGGTCCTATTTATAGTTGCTGGGAATGGGTCTTCTTCAAGAAACCCTAATGGTTTCTTTCTAATCTAGCTAAGCTTTCCTCTTCCTTTCTTCTCCTCTTTCTTGACTTACCTCATGGAGGCAAAAATCAGTTCTGTCCAATCCCACAAAATCAGAGATTTTTTGGAGCTCGAGGCTTCTTCCGACAGCCGCTTCAGAGGAGAGCTTCCATTTTCACCCATCTTCTTTCTCTCCTTTCCTCCTCCTTTCATGGCCAAATCTGATAAAGGAAAGAAAATGGGTGCGCCTGCTGGTTTAAGGGATAACATCTTCCCCTGCGTGCTAATACCCCTTGGTTTCTTGAATGCTTGCACTTGGAACTTGTTCTCCCAGCAGCCCCTCACATGTGAATCTTTGGCTTTCTTCGTGGACTTCTGCTTCAGCCAAGTGCTGAAGGCCTTGGACTCCTTTTATCCAAATGGTATGGGCCCTTTAATATAGAAGGCCAAGTCATCTAATAAGTGGGTTAAATTCACCAAGTATTTGGGCTTTGTGGGCTATCTAAAGTAATGAGTTATTTTGGTTGGGCTACTCTAGTTGAAGCAATTGGACTATTTCCTCTCTTGTGCTTACCCACGTTTGAGCCTAAGAAAATGGGCTTGAGTCCCGAGGCCCCCAAGCGACCCGAGACTTCCATTTCTCGGCCCATCAATGGGCCCCATGACAATTCGTTACCATCCATACCACAACCCACTCAAGCAAGCCCCGGGCATTTGAGTGGCTTGGGCCCACTTAAGCTTGTAGTGCGATTGGGTGTGAAATAATAATTTCCCGCTTGGCATGGCATGTTGCTTGGCATGCTTTTAAATATGGCGCTTGATAGGATAATTGGCATGGATTTGCAGAGCTAAATGTATTTTATAATTTTAATTTCAATTCCTAGCTCGACGGATTTTTTATTTAGCATGGCGTGCGGAGTATGACTCGTGTATGTCATACTTTCATGTGCTCCAAATCGGATCTTTTTCCAATAATATATTGTCTTGGGCTAGAAATTTATTCTGGCCCAACCATGGATTTTTTGGGCCTCAACACTTGGAAATGAACTTTTCTTGATATTTTTTTGGTTCAATTTTGAGATCTGAACTATGGCTACTTTGTTGTGTTTTGAGTTCATTTATGAATGTATTAGAGTGATAGCTTCTCTTCAGCTGAAAACCTGGTGGCATTATTTTGATGATAATAGATATTGCATTGTTGTCTGCCTGATGGTCCTGTCTCTTTCTAAAATTTGCCTAAGGGCATTAGGATATGGCCGTAATAGATTCATGCTTTCTCATTTTTTTCTCCTTGACGCAATTTAGCACTGAGATAAAATATGTCAAAGATGCCATTTTAGTTGTGTAAATGAGTTGGTAATTATAATTGATTAGCCCAGGTTAGTGCCCTTCATGCCCCAACTTTCTCATTGAATTACTGTTTTTTACATAGTAAGTATATATACACTAATCATATATTGTTTTAGAATTCTCGTAAAATTACAAAAAAAAGAGTTGCTAGGTTTGTATATGATTGAATGAACGGTGTGATCATTAGCAATGTGCATGTGCTAGCAGGTTGTTATGAGTGTGTAAAGTAATTGTTTGGTGTTTGGGTGTGCTATTTTTTTGGTGTGAGAAATGGCACTGTTATCAATTTTATATTTATACACATTGTGTGATACGTTATGTTGTAATTCCAAAACTGCATTGCAGAAAACGGAAACTGCAATGCATAAAATAGAAACTGCAATGCAGAAAACATAAACTGCAATGTAGAAAACGGAAACTGCAATGCAAAAAACAGAAAATGAGGGATTTATTAGATTTTAGATTGATCATTGTATAACTCTAGAGCTAATCATAAGGGATTTATTAGATTTTAGATTGATCATTGACACGAAATCAAGTTCTCGAAGACAAAGGGCAATCTTCAATGACACAAAATCTTCTTCTTTTTTCGAAAACTACATTGCAAACAATAGAAACTGCATTGCAGAAAACGGAAAATGTTGTTAGAAATATGCCCTTAAAGCCAACTAATTATGTAATAGTTAGAGTTAAGGACATCTTTGATAAAAGACATATTATGTTATCAATGTGCAAGAAATGTTGTTTTATACATTAAATCATCCTATATTATCTTTCAATATGTAGAACAACCATAGTCCAAGGAACACACAAGTGGATATGAGAGCTATGTAATGAGATTGCATACATGGAGACTTCTCATCATCCCTAAATCCTGAATATGTTCCTGGTCATAGGAATATTGATTGGGCGTCAATATTCCACAAAGACCAGTACACACAGTATCGTCTCTATATGTAGGGAATGACAAGGTCTCAAGTCATTAAGTGTGGAGACAAATCGATATGTGTGTAGGTGCTTGTAGGTTTCAATTAACCTTTATTAATATAAAGAATTAAATTGTGGAATTAAATTCCTATATCGTCTCTGAGAAGTTGAGTCAACCCACTATCTTGTTAAAAGGAACCTACGGATCTGCACACCCCAAGAATGTGATTAGAAGTACAAATGAGGAGAAATGAAATGAGGAGACACAAGTCAATGGTTGATAATCAAATGTCAAAGTCAAAGTCAACATGTTGACCGAAGCAATTGACTAAAGTCAAATAGTTCGACCGGCTCAATTAAGTAAGACTATAATTATAATTTAACAGTTAAATTATATTTAAAAGATTTAAAAGGAAATGGACAAAATAGCCCAATAGGCTATTGCGCCCAAGGGATAAGTGGCATAAGATGACATGACCCTTGGACCAAATGGAGCCCCAATTACCTTTTGTTTTGTCCTATATAAGATAAGTGTTAGAGAAAACCTAGCTAGGATTTTTGGCTTCCTACTTTGGTTAATAAGTGATCATCTTTGTATCTCATCTTCCATAAACCAAAAATTGGTCCAATCAAGAAGTAGACTAGCATCCATACTTCTTGATTGCCTTCTCTTCATCTCTAGAAGCATTTGGTATGGTGAGATAGAGGACTCCAATCTTGGAGCCTAAGGTGAAGGAGTCAAAATCAAGAGAAACAAAAAGTCTTTCCAACAAAGGTGTTCATTCTTGAGAAATCAAGAAAAGTTCATCAAGCGTAAAGATCTATTCCCTTTTTCCTTTTCTATTTGTGTTCAAAAAGACTAGTCTAAGATACTTAGTTTAAAATGAAAAAGGTTTACCTCAACTAATATAAACAAAATGAATCCGCCATTTAGAATGTTTTGTTGTATATGTTGTGGGTAAAGTTCATTTCCTAAGCATTAGATGCATGTTTCCTTCAACTGCAATGCAGAAAACAAAATCTGCAACCTATTTTACGTTCTAGGTGGTCTTCAGTCCGATTCCCCCTCTCCTAACATGGTCTACAATTTTTGTTTAGTGTTGTTTTGTTTTGTTTTGTTTATTTTGTTACTATTATAGTTATATTTTTGTTAGATTGTAGATTGATCATTGGTATTAAAATACACAATGCATTGTAGTTTATATTTCTATAGAAGTGGTTTTTGTTTTGTTACAACCTATGTTTTTTTGTTACAGTTTTTGTTTTTGTTTGCAATTTATGTTGTTATTTACAGTTTTTGTTTTTGTTTACATTATTGATATCTACACTATTTTGTTTTGTATAACTCTAGAGCTAAGCATGAGGGATTTGGTACAAATTTTGCACGTATTGATGTTGAAATAATTTTTTCATTGACAATAAATATTGCGTAACTAACAAAATATCACAAAACAAGGTTGGTGTAGTGGTTTGTGAATGAGGTTACCTTCCTTTGGAGTAATTTTTGGGTGTTCCGGGTACACCACGTGGCTAGTGTATCACGTAGTGTACCCGGAACATATAAAAATTTCTCCTTCCTTTGAGGGTCAAGGTTCGAGTCTCTTCAAGCACACTAAATTTTTATTTTTATTTTTAGGTTGAGGGTAACTTAATTGGTGATCAGCGATGGCTGGTAGGCGACGAATGACCAGCGGTGGTTGGCTGGCCGGGAGGGGGATTGTCAATGGTGGACATGTGGCGTGTTCTTGCCTTAGAAGGAGTGACATTATGTGTAATTTTGATATTTTTTAATTACATTATTGTAAAATTAGGTTTTTTTAAAAAAAATGAATAGTTAAATTTGGCATAATGGCATCATCTTTTTTGTAATTTTGAGGTTTTTTCAATGCATGATGGGATAGGTCAAATGTAGAGTTTATAGGAGTTTGTGTATGGTTCATAATAGTTGATAAATCTATATATATAAAGCAAAAGGTAGAGAATGGTGAAACATTCAAAATACAAAAAAATACCCCTGGTTAATTCAAACATTAAGAATTAAAATTATTAATTAAATGATGATAATATTGTAAATTCTTTTTTTTTTCATATTTATAAAAATAAAAATAAAAACAAAATCAGATAATAGGTCCTACTTTTATAGAACATAACTACCCATTATTATTCTATTCTAAATAAATATAAAAATAAAAAAAACCAAAAATAAATGGCACATGCGTGAGCATGTGTCAAGGGACTAGTGATGTATGAAATTAGAAAAGACATAATACTTTGGGGGGGCTTAACCCTAGTACGTATGATACTTTGGGGATTTTTATGTATAGACACATTTTAACTGTCTTTGTTCTCTTAAATAATTATCGAACTAAACTATCAGACGTATTCTCATATCTTCAATTTGTAAATTCTTTTCTTTTTTTTTTTTTTTTTTTTCTTCTGAAAAAACCGTTTACAAGGCATCCTTCGTGTTATATTATTTTCTCTTCCTCTTGCTCTTCATTTGTGCTGTCATCTTTCTCCACCATACCTCATTTTTAACATTCTAGAATTAGATCTAATTTAATTTCGTAAAGTTGGTGCTTCATATCTTGGAGTGCACTCAGTCCAGTCAAATGAATAGAGATGAAGTTTGGGACCTTGCATTCTAGGTACACTATTTCCTTCAGACCACCTGTATGGTGGAGAAATAATTGTCTTGAAGATGTAGTGGGTCATAGTTAAGGCTTGGATAAATGAAATGTGGGAACCCAGTTGAGGGTCAAGGTTCGAGTCTTTTCAAGCACACTAAATTTTTATTTTTATTTTTAGATTGAGGGTAACTTAATTGGTGATCAGCGATGGCTGGCAGGCGACGAATGACCACCGGTGGTTGGCTGGCCGGGAGGGGGATTGTTAGTGGTGGACATGTGGCGTGTTCTTGCCTTAGAAGGAGTGACATTATGTGTAATTTTGATATTTTTTTAATTACATTATTGTAAAATTAGGTTTTTTTTAAAAAAAATGAATAGTTAAATTTGGCATAATGGCATCATCTTTTTGTAATTTTGAGGTTTTTCCAATGCATGATGGGATAGGTCAAATGTAGAGTTTATAGGAGTTTGTGTATGAGTTCATAAATAGTTGATAAATCTATATATATAAAGCAAAAGGTAGAGAATGGTGAAACATTCAAAATACCAGAAAATGCCCTTGGTTAATTCAAATATTAAGAATTGAAATTATTAATTAAATGAAGATAATATTGTAAATTCATATTTCTTTTTCATATTAAAAAAATAAAAATAAAACAAAATCAGATAATAGATCCTACTTTTATGGAACATAACTACCCATATTATCTATTCTTAATTCGAAAAATAAAATAAAAAATAAAACCAATTGGCACATATGTGAGCATGTGTCAAGGGGCTAGTGATGTATGAAATTAGAAAAGACATAATACTTTGGGGGTTTTTTATGTACTTAACCCTATTACGTATGATACTTTGGGGGGTTTTTATGTATAGACACATTTTAACTGTCTTTGTTCTCTTAAATAATTTTCGAACTCAAATATCAGACGTATTCTCATATCTTCAATTTTTATATTCTTTTCTTCTTCTTTTTTTTTTTTTTTTTTTTTTGTAACGGTTTACAACGCATCCTTCGTGTTATATTATTTTCTCTTCCTCTTGCTCTTCATTTGTGCTGTCATCTTTCTCCACCATACCTCATTTTTAACATTCTAGAATTAGATCTAATTTAATTTCGTAAAGTTGGTGCTTCATATCTTGGAGTGCACTCAGTCCAGTCAAATGAATAGAGATGAAGTTTGGGACCTTGCATTCTAGGGACACTATTTCCTTCAGACCACCTGTATAGTGGAGAAATAATTGTCTTGAAGATGTAGTGGGTCAAAGTTCAGGCTTGGATAAATGAAATGTGGGAACCCAGTTGCTATGTCATTCTGAAAATAGCTTCAGAAGACAAAATATTTTATTTTGTTTGCACCTTAAAACAGAGAAATCCAGAAACTTTAAAAGGCCCTAAATAGAGTTAATTGGGAGAAGAACATGATCACAATGGAAAACCTCAAATGGTCCTGATTAGAGCCAAGGTTTACAAACCACCAAATGATGTTCATTCAAAAGCAGAAGCTGCAGAACACAAACGAAAATCACTTTTTCTTTTTTCTTTTAAGTAATCAAATTAAAAATTACATTACCATCACCATGACTGCTTCTGCTTTACAGATGATTAACATCTGGTGTTGTTTTTTGTAGTTAAGGCAACAACTGCATCTGAATTTGAAGTGAAAAAGTATTCACATACATCAGCCAGGGAAACAAGTTAAACATGACTAAAATGAAGCCAAAGATCTCATCAAATGTAATATTGCTGCCTATGAAAATCAGTTTTGGATGGATTAAACTCAATGTTGTCCTGCTAAATAAATTTATGCCCTCAACCCCTGCAGCATCTCAATTAGCAGTCAGAAGAAGGCTCGGCTACCGTAGAACACCCTCGATCCATCCTTCTTCTTATCAAGTTCTAAATTGTTGTTATGGTTAGGAATCACTTCGCCACGGTCTTCACATTCCGCTTTATCAAGATCCATTGGGAGCTTCATCTTTGCCAAAGACTCAGTAAACTGTTGCATGCTTCTCATGTACATGTCCACTATTTGTTGCTGCATTGCAGACTGCTCGGCGGCCTCCATGTTGATGTTCCCGAGTGGAGCCGAAAACACCTGACCATATTGACCAGAACCAACCGTCTTTTCCTTGCTGCTCTCCTCTTCCTTTCCTGAGAAATTTGCATCCTTTGTGTCTACAGCTTCTCTTCCCTTTCTTGAGGTTGGAGTGTCTGGACAAGCAGCAGAACCTTGATTAGCTGCTCCTGTGGTGACACAAGTGTTGATAGAATTCGACGTCTCAGCAGTCACACGATTCTTTTTCTCGATTGAATCAGCGGAGTTTCGATCATCACTCAAGCTTGTTGTGGTGGAACTTAAGAAGCCAGAGTTGTGGATGCTCCCACTCCCATTAGGAGAAACAGGTTCACCCTGGATTCCCACATTTGAACTCACAGTCATTTCACAGTCATGATCAGCAGCAGGCTGAGGAGATGCACCGAGATGAAGAAATGAGCCAAGTCCTTGGGAACCAGGTCTCCAAGCACAGCCATGCCTTGTCAAGTTAAAATACTCAGACACCATTTGCTGACTCTCATTTACTACATCGATATCCGGGAATTCGATCCTCGAATACTCAACCGGGTCTAATACCACTTCTGATACTTTTCGATCAAGCAACACAACTTCTGAAGTTATGGATGAGTTAGCAGATGATTCGGATAACGAACTGGTGGAGGGTTTAATAGGCAAAGATGTGTTGAGAGAAAGACTCAATTTGACAGTTCCAGCTGGGGAATGGAAGAGATCAGTGGAAGACAGACTATAATCTTGAGTTACCTTTCCTTTGCCAATCACATGTGAAATTGGGACCAAAGTGAATCCCAAAAGCTGGTCTTCCATGTAGTTTCTGGCCCTGCTAAGCATCCAAATCTCACATTTGAGGACAGCATCAAGTTGAGTGATTTTCATCCTCAAGTTTTCGTTGAATTCGGGGTTCTTGCCACCTCCATTGATGATCCTAGTTGAGAGGGTCTCATCTGGATTGTAAGTGAGAGAAAATTTTGCATAGACATCTTGATTTTCATAGATGCATATGTTGTGAATGTTCCTAGCATGATGAGCATAGATTTCAAGAATCCCTGAAAAGTGATCAGAATCACCATTTACATCACCTATTGTGTTCGAATTCAGGTTGTACCGGAACCCAGTTGTCTGATTGAATGATTCCATCAGATCAGAATATAGCTTCTTCCCCTTGAGGATATTCTAATATTTTCTGTATGGTAAGCAATGTAAGAGGTTTAATGAGAGAGAGAGAGAGAGAGAGCACACCTATGCAGAAGCTGTAGTTTTCTCAGATAGCAGATTGACTAATAACATACATTGGAGGCCTGCTTCTGCAACCATATTTCTGCAAATCTGTGGGTTCTAGAAGAAGTTTTAAAGGATCAATCTATAAATTAAGCAAAGCATTTTTCACAAGAGAAAGGTTGTGCCAATTGAGCCTTCAGAGAGAGAGAGAGAGAGAGAGAGAGAGAGAGAGTTACTGTGGAATTGTGGAGGTTGCTTAGTGGTGGGTATGATAGTAGGTGGGAATAAAGAGAAGAATGTAAATCGAAGAAAAAATTGATGATGTTATGGTTGTTTTTTAACCACTTTTTCCTCATGCACTTTCTTTTGGGGGTGGGTGAAGGATAGTGATTTTTGAAAGGGTTGCTTTGCTTGGCATTACAGCTTCCACTTCTAATGTATAACTTGCTCCACTCAGGGAATTGGAGGCCCCCACTTGGCCCCATCTTCATTATCAATCTCCCTACCTTTCTCACACTGAGATGCTCTCCAAAGTTATTAGACCATCTCTCTCTCTCTCTCTCTCTCCTCTCTCTCTCTCTCTCTCTCTCTCTCTCTCTCTCCTGTGGCAAGAAAATGTCTCAACAATCCCATACCACAATGTGGTACAGATACATGTCATGATTTGGAAATAATCCCCTTTGGCCCTGCTCTATAAATTATAAATCTCTATTGTTGATATGAGCATGAATGAAGAGGAAAGCACTCAAAAAACACTCAGACATGGATTTTGCTATGTTCAACCGTTAGCACCGACGGATAATTTCTGTGTTTTGATACATGTGGTCTCGTCAATAATCAGAAATCAATCATGCACAGTGACGGAACTATGGTGCATTTCAAATTTGAAGGAACAGACAAGCCAGCTTATTAGTGGCATTCAATTTGAGCATCTATTTCTCACAACTTGCTCCGAAGATTTTGTGTTCCTTAATAACTTGACTTCACATTGTTGAAAATGAAGTTAATATTTGTCCAAATAAGCTGCTATTTTTGAATGATTGGTCTATGTGGACGTACATGTTCCACATGATGTAAGGCCAGGCCTCCAACCAATGATGTTGAACTTAGTGACTGATTGTGTGATTTAAAACAAGTGGCCATTTTCATGCAGTCTGGAGACTAAGGCCTGTTCAGTAACATTTCGGATAATATTTTCTTAGAATATTTTCAAAGAATGAAAATAAGAAAACGAATTTGCATTTTTAGGAAATGAAAATGTGTCTGGTAGATTAATTAGAAAACATCTACATAAAATAAAAGCAATGAAAATGTGTCTAGTAGTACAATTTGAATTAATAATATGTGAGTTATTTTTATGAAAACATTTCTCATGAGAATGAAAACAACTTTTTTCTGTTTTATACAAGTACACATGAACTTGTTAAAATGAAAATATTCTCAGTGTTTTCTATTTTTGGGCCACCGAAAGTGTTTTTGCCTTATTTTTGTTCTTTGCAAATGAAAACAACCTTTTTAAAACGTTACCGAATGGGCCCTAAGTCCGCCACAAAATACAATAAAGCAACATCTGGCAGACCCATATAGGCGCAAGCCTCACCGAAAAATGAATTGAAGATACTAGAATTTGCCCCTCTGCTTATTCCTACAAAGTGTTCGATTAAATGCCTCAAACAAGATTTTTTGTTGTTGTTGTGTGAGATCCTGAATATTTACCTTAGGTTATTGGGCTCAATATCATGATCATGTAGGAGAAAAAGATTTGTCAATTGAAGCTCCACATCCAAAGTTATGAATTTTAGAAGCTTTTGAAGAATTTTGAAGTTGCAGAACAAAGTCGACGAAGAAGACGACTCAGAATGTTTGTAGTCACAATCTCGTGCTTCTCAACTTTAATTCCTTTTCAAAATGGCCACTAGCAAGGACATATGTCAAATTTTAACTAGACCAACTTCAAAAATTCTTTAAACTCATATGTGCTCCGAATAATTCACCGAAAATTATCCCAAACTCGCAATCACATGTACTTTTATCTCGTGACCTCCAAATCACATGTAATTTTGGTTAGATTAATTGGTATTGATTTTGGTTAGATTAATGGATGATTTCATATGAACTTTAGTAAACTAATTGTGTAAAATGAATTTTGTGCATATTAATTCATATACAAAATAGACTATATATAGTCAATTAGTCTTAGACGTAAAACTCTTATTTATTTTAATTATGAATAACATCAGTATTAAGCCTAAACCAAAATCACTATGTTTGACAGTCTCAAAGCGTGGCAAGTCAAGGTACCACTGATATGGCTCAACAGGCAGTCCCCTCTCCAAAATGCTACATACAATCAATAGATGTATTATCCATATATCACATTCCTGTAGTGGAGATCATCGAAACGCTCTTCCCTCTGTCCTCCCCCTACCAACTCTCCCACCTCCAACACAATATGTAATCCTTATAGGGAGTTTCACATATAAGCCCATAAATAGGGCCCAAATTAATTATTAAAAAGCCCTACAACACCTAAATTCTAACAGAAAACCCAATTGAATTTTCAACCAGCTCATAAATAACAAACAATTAAACTATAAAAAAAATTGGGAACTAATTTTTTTTGTTTTTTTTTTTTTTTTTTTTTTTTTTTTTTTTTATGGTGTTTATCTATAGACTTTTTAAGAGCTATGGCCCCTGAACTTTGAATCAATTTGAGCTTTAGTCCCTCCACGGTCCCTCAATTCCACTTTCGTTTGTAACAAAAGTCCTGGAGTAACTTTTGTTACTTTTTTTGTCAAAGTGAGGGGCAAATTGGTCCCTTTGAGTGTTTAGTCATTTTTTTGTTTTCTTAATTAATATAAATTTAAAAATTAAACAATTAAGAAAAAGAAAATAAAGTAAATCCAAAAATTATTGGTTAACCAGTTTTCATATATTAGATTATTCAAGAATTACGTGGCTTTTCTTTCCCCTTATGCCTCCCGCTCCCCCACTGTCTCTCTATCCCTCTTTCTGCACACTCTCTTCCTTTCTCCCCCATCCAACTTTGGAGAAATTATACAATGATACGGTATCACCACGTCAGTTGGTAATACTCTCATTCAAGATCTGTCATGTATCCTTTTTGAAAAGAAAATTAAAAAAAATTTACACCTGGACTTTGTCTTACAAGTTTACCCTTCAACATTAATTATCCTAACTCCTCTCCTCCGTCTTCCCTGTGCTATGGACGCCACCTAGCTGTTTTTGCATCTCCCTTGCCACCCAGTCATCTTCCCTCCTCCCTCGCCACCCACCCGGCCTTTCCGTGCCTCCCATTCTTAGTAAAAAGTCAAACGTATTTAGAAAACCCAGAAATCTTGAAAATCAGTGCAAACCCATTAAACATGAAACAAAAATCTTCAAAATCTCCTATGACGACAACCCACTAGTGAAAGAAGGGTATGTTTGATGTTGATATTATTGGAGGGGGACTGCAGCCTAGGGGCGGCAGTGCAAGGTTGGTGGATTGCCGATAGGGGAAACTGCTACAGTCTTCTTGTTTTCTTTTTCCTGTTTTTTCAATTTTTATTTTATTTTATTAATAGTGTGGTTTAGGGTTTTAATAGGCTGCCACATAAACAACTAACCAAAATTGTTCTTTACATGCGGGTAGTGATAGCACCACCACAAGCACCTACTTCAAGAGCTCCACAACAAACTACTTCCACATCTCCACCACCATCTCAGTCAACTGTTTTGTCCCAAGCAACTACTTCAAGAGCTCCACAACCAATTCAGTCATCCCAAACCAACCCAAGAGCTGATTCAAAGAAGGGTCATGGCAAGAAGAGGAAGGCTACTTTGAATGAATGATTTAGACTGATGTTGAGATTGAATAGGGTATTTTGAGGGAAACTAGTTTGATGGTGTTTTGGTTAAAGCTGGATATTTTTCTTAGTAGTGGATAGGTTATACTCTGGTTAGACTGATTTACAGATGGATTGGTTTTGGATATGGTATATTTTAGAAATGGTTAAGAGACCTATTTCCCTTTCATCATCAAAGCAATAACCAGCATCCAAGACACAACTAAAAGGAACCAGAGCTTCCTCTCCCATGCACGAATTTGTAGCATCTCAGCATCCATTTTTTGAATCCGCAGCCCACCTATCAACTTCTTTGTACGTGGGGAGTCCTCTGCATCATACCACACCTAGAAGGAGCATCAATCACGTATCTACAAACAGAGTCCAAATTATTCCCTTTCACCCAAAAACACATAAGAGCCACATCAATTTTACATGAAACATGGTTAAAATTCCTCCTACCAGGGTTCGCTTCAGTCTACGAAGTGAATATCTTCGCCCTCAACCCATAGTCATCGTAATTCACTGTCATTTCCCTTTCCGACAGAGAAGACCCAGACACGGACGACATGGACTGAGAGGGGGGATCAGTAGCCACGTCAGCGTTTTGGCAGGAATCGTTTATTACAGTGCCCGCTTGATGGTTCTACATCAGCTTTTAACTGAGATTCTGACAAATTGACTAACGAATGTATGAAATTGATACTAAATTAAACGTTATGGATGCGACTGAAATGAAACAAACTTGTTGTATCAGACTCTAAAACATGAACAACTTCATAGTAATGAACTGAAAATTACTCTATATAAAATCATCAATCTTTGAATGAAAATGAACGAAAAGTGTTTTGTGAAAATAATTTTAAAACTTAAAGGGTATTCATGTAATACCGAAAAACTCAAGGGGTGTTATTGTAAATAACTCAATCTAGAATAAAAATTTATGTAAATTCTGCGTTAAAATTTATTATCAAGTAACTTCAAAATCAACAATGGAATGAACTAGAGGGGTAGTTGATCCTTTTTTTATTTTTTTATCTCTAAGTTTCTCAGTACATGTCTTCCCTCATTCTTGGTAAGTAGACGTGTAGACATGCCCGGAGTGATCTATGTTCTTCAACGTATTAAAGATTGTAAACCCATGGCTGTCACGACACGCTTGTTAGACAATTTGGAATGCGTAACAGCAAAACAATCGAAACTTGACTTGCAAAGAAGCAGAACGAGAGACCGTGAAACTGAAACTTTTCTTTTTTGTTTTGGTTAAATGTAATCTGAACAATTTTTAAGAATACACAGACCAGTCAGTCATTATTTCACAGCGTCTTTTTTTTTCTTTGTTCTTTTCTCTTTTTTTCCTTTTTCCTTCCCTTTGATGGTACATTATTTCACATAGTTACGGCAAATACAGTCTTAACCCAAAAGAAAAAAGGTCATGGAATTACTGTACAGGAGATGGGGTGGGAGGGTTTCAATATCTGCCATATAACGCAGTTGCACAAAGGGAATTACTTCCGGCCCAACCTTGCCAAATGCTGCTGATGTTTTGCTGCAGCAGCCTTATCAGCAGCTTCACGTTTAAGTGCCCGCTTCGCACGTCTCCCAGTTTTATCCATTGCGGCCTCTTTTTTCCTAGGATCACGAGACGAACTAGCACCCGAGTCCTCTATGTTTGATCTGTGAACAGGCCTTGCTTCTTGACGCCCACCTCTCACATATCCATTATCTCCCCATCTTCGATTACCGATTCGGACACTCGATGAACTGCTGAAGTAAGCTTCATCCAGATCATCATCCTCTTCGTCCTCGTAGGGGTAATAATAATCATCAGGGTCATCATACACATCTTCACGTTCCTCCACAATCAGAGGCTCAAACCATTTTGCTCTAAGAAGTAAGCACACGCTCTCCTCGAACATGTAGTCATGTATGCTGTCAAAGCATAAAAATGTGAAGGTGGTGCGTTAATACAACATATATATGCTTTCTTTCCTTAGGCATGTCAACCAATTACTGAAAAATAGCATCTCCTTGAATGTATTATGTGATTCCCTAACTAATTACTCAAAATAACTCTTACATGCAAAATGTCTTCCCCATCTCCCACTGGGAGGTATTCTCATAAGTCATAACCATGTTTCTCCCTTTCTAAATATGCACATAAAGCGAAACAAGAGGACTTCAAATACCTGCCATCAAGCGAACGATGGACATTCAGGAACTCAAATGGATGTTTGCATTGAGGGCAGGTGGGTTTTTGGCTGTATGTCACCCAACGAAGAATGCAGGTTGCACTGCACATAACGAAAATGAAAATTCATGAATACCACAGCCAATGCCGTTGCTTATAACAAATAAAAAGTAAAGGGTGTGTCAGGCTTTCATTCTATTTTATTTTTCATGCAATAACTCAGAAAGAGTATAGTCGAGAGCTAAAACTAATGCTATGACTTTGCAGCAAACAACAGGGAGTCCAGCACAACACCCATGATGCGCATATAAATAGTTTCAATAAAATCAACAAGGGTGAAGCTAATTATGTTTGATTTGTGAACAGGCCTTGCTCCCCATATGCACATATAGGTTCACCTACTGTCTAGTTTGCCCATACCACAATTGTCAGAAAATCTGCTGAACTTGTGTTTCTAGACCCCTTAATTTTTACAACATTACCAATCAAGTCTACATTGAGGAGTAGTTACTTTAACTGTGTAACCCACAGGAAGTACAATAAAGAATCTTTATATGAGTCACATTGTATATATTGTCAAAAATAATATTCTACATACTAAAAACACCCATGATATCATCTATAGTCAATCTTTGATAATGAAATTTGATAAACCTCATGATATTTATATCAAATAGACACCAATAAACACTAATAACGTTTGACTTCACAGATGCAACATTAATAACCTAATGATAAAGGGAAATCAAGTGGAAATAGTAATCAGAAAAAGGAGAAATAAGGGATAATTGATTTCATAACTTAACATGTGTTGTGGATCAGAAAAACTTATCAAATCAGGGGAAATAGAGAACCTAGGGTACTTAGTCCTTGGGCAAAAAGGAAAGGTCAGAAAACTTGATGGTTCACGAAAATTGTAAGATTGACTGCTCAAATGAGCACTCATTCTCAATATCATCAACTACCACCTAGAAAGAATAATGCATGCTTTATAATGTCTTAACTGCAGATGAAACAGTCTCCAGATTAAATTGATAAAGTAGCATGGGACAGACATACCTCTCTTTTAGACTATGCTCTCAAAATGCAATAAAGAAGCAATGGAATTTATCTAGTTACTCCCGAACAGTGCAGCACAATGTGCGCATATTAGCATATAAGAAATATGTCATCCTTAAAACAAAAGAAAAATGAGCAAATGTGTCAATAGAAGGATAAAAGCCGTTCAGAACATGAGAACAAGTCCCTAACATTTTATTCAGAAACTTAAAAAACAGAATAGGTTGGTAGCTTCTCGTGGATTTTACCCCAAAAAAAAAATGCAAATTTACCAATAAAACCCACCGAGTTTGGAACTTTAAAAAAACATAATACGCTGGTAGCTTCTGGCTTTTTATACATTAACCCACAAACTTGTATTGCTGTTGCATGTGCACCTTAAACAACTGAGGATTTTCGCCTTTGCATCAGTACAAGAGATGCTAGCCAGTTAAGTTGCCTTATCTCAGGAAACAAGTGTTCAGATCACAGCCTTTGACGACATTGCTCACAATTCTTGATGAGACAATGAATTATCAGACCATTTGAGGCTATGAATTATTGTATAAAATGTTTACAACAACCACCAAACTATGAAATTTTAGAAGCCTGGTCAGCCTACCCCAGAAAAAACAAAAGGTGGCCGTTTTTGGATAACCAAATCAAAGGAGAGGCATATAGCCAAAGAGGCTATTGAAACCAGAGAAGTTGTACAAAGGCACACCAAATGAGTAAAAGACCAAAGCATCATTACAGATACACAGAACAGTTATAGCACCAAATGCATAAACCACAACTATGATACCAAGCGAAAAGCAGCAGACCAATACTTTGAATTTAGGAAACGCAAGATTTAAATAGAAAAGAGACTGATAAGACAAACCAGTAGGCATGCTCGCAACCTTTTACAAGAGCAGTTTCTTGAAGCACAATCTCATCCAAGCATATTGCACACACCCCACCATGATTCCCACATCTCTTTTCAACGTTGTCTGTGTTGCTCCGCATTTCCCCCTGAAAATTTTTAAATCCCCAATTTAACAAATTTAATGAAAACCCAAAACTCCAATGAAAGCAAACAGTTCGCATCAGAGCATGGAATCATATACTAACCTTCTATAATTACCCAAATATCCAATTCAAATATTTCAAAACGAATGTGATTTTATGGTTTTTGTGATGTTTGGTTGCTGAGAAAACGCGTAGAAAAGTAAAACAAGGAACCCAAGTATTTAATATTGGATTTCAATTGCATCACAGCCAAGATATCAAACCCAGAATTTGACACAGTCAAAATTGTGGCATTTGGCAGCGTGGAAAATGCAGGGAAACACAGAAAGAGAGAAATTCCCGAAAGTCCAATTCACCCCCAACAAAATTTTCTTTGACCTCAGTTTCCCGGTAAACAATCACAGGGTTACGATTAAAAAAAAACGCAGAAAAATAAATAAATCGATCAAAAAAATGAACTAGATCTGGTCCGATGGAAGAACAAGAAGAAAGAACACAGGAGAGAAGAAGCACCTGATGTTGCTGGGTGGATAAATTGTTAAGATCGCTGAGTAGCTGATCCTGACCGTCCATGTTGATGACTGAAGTCATGGTGATTAGAATTGATGAAAATGTTCTAAGTGATCTAGCTTAAATTATATGCTGCCTGAAGAACTGAAGAAAATTTATATTCGTAATAATATTATTTATATAAATATATATCTATATAATATGCAGATGCTGGAGAATTATTCTGATTCTTCTATCCTACATAGTCAATAATACTACAGAGAAAAGGGAGAGAGAGAGAGAGAGAGAGAGAGAGAGAGAGGCCCTCGTTTGGGGATGAAAGCCCTAGGAAGAAAGAGAGGGAGAAGGTTGTGGATGACATAAATAGAAATTGTTTTTTATTTATTTTTAAAAATAAATAAATAATTGAATAAATTGAATTTCAATATTCCGACGTTTTGGGACTGTGGACTTGTGGTGGTGTATAAGGTTAGCTGACAGTTGGGCTTGTGGTGAGATGTGGGGGTGTAATATTTCGACACGTGGCCTTTCGGCTACATTTTTCCAACTCTTTTTTTCTCTAGATAATATATTCTTGTAATATTCCTTCTACTGTGAAAGAAAATTCTTCAGTCTTCCGCTCCATCGGTGCAACCGTTGGATTCCGTGTAAAAGTGAATGACCAATACTAGCTAAATTCTCTGGTATCGATATAGAAAATAAGTCCTAAGGCCATCTCCAGTTATAGGGCAAAATGTAATTCATGACTATAAAGTTAGCATTTTAAAATATTAATGTTTTAAAAAATAGTGTATGGCTAAATTTTTTCGTGCCAGTTTGGCATTGCTTATTTGGGGTGATAAGTGATTTTTAAAAAATTTTGAGAAGCCCAACCCGTTTGGTAAACTGCGAAAAAATCACTTATTATTAAAATTTGCTGTGAGAGAAAGCTATAAGGGAAAGCAGCTAATGAGGTGCTTTCATTTTCTAATTATGCAGGAATCAGTTTCGAAGAGGTGTTGGGTTTAATGATTATGCAGCAATCATTTTCTGATTTTGCGTAAAATCAATACCAACAACACTTTTAACAAAAATTTTACCAAACGCCAAACTGCTTTCTTTCACAGCTGATTTCTCTCACAGCAAATCTGACAGCGATTATTTTCACAGCACAGCAATGCCAAACTGGCCCTTCATCTTCAACCATGCAAAGATATATTTTAGGGTCTTTCATATTTTATTATTTTGAGAAAAACTATGATATAACACTCATACATTCCACAAGTATGTATTGTTTAATTTAATTAAACTACTTTTTAGAGACAATATTCCATATATGACATGTATACGTTCATAACATTTAAAAAGGCTACTTTTAAAAAAAATTATCCTAACGGCTAGCTTACGTTATCGATGATATCAGCACACCTTTAATATTGGCTATTGGATATGCATTTACACGAGATGTTTCGTGCTCTTGCCCACATTTGATAATTTCTCTTCTTGAAAAGCATATGCATGGGACCCACAAAAAACTTTGGCCTATGCCAAAGTTGGGCTATACTTGGTCTGGTTGGAGAGCTAAGGTCATCTCCAGGCATATGGCTAAATGTAGTCCAGAACTAAAAATTTAGCCTCCCAAAATATTAATTTTTTAAAGAATAATGCCGGGCTAAATATGCCCATCTCCAGCCCTGCATGACTATATTTTAGGGTCCTTCATATTTTATTATTTTGAGAAAAATTATGGTACAACACTCATACATTCCACAACTATATATTGTTTAATTTAATTAAATAAAAAAAATTAAAGCCAACAAAGGCAATTTTAAAAAAATGGAAGGGTTTTAAAGGGTCTTCAACGGTCATGACCCAGAATTATTTATAATTATTTTAAAACAATAGCAAACATTTAAAAATGTGAAGACAAAGAAAAAAAGGATGGGTTTCAATGTTTGAGCTCCAATGGTCATGAACAAGACTTTTTTATAATTGTTTTTAAACAACACTTGAAAATATTTGAAAAGCTTACCACATTTATTATTATTATTATTTTTTTTAAAGGGAGTGGGTAGGTCTAACCTCCAACGTCATTGCCAACAATTTTTTATACTTTTTTCTTAAACACTATGAATTGAAACATTCAAAAGGCTTTTAAAAATCTATATATATCAATGTTGGCTGTTGAAAAGCACAAGGATGGCCCCCACTACAAATTTGGCCTAGGCCAAAGCTGGGCTACATTTGGCCCGGTTAGAGGGCTAAATGACCAAATGTGACCCTCCAAATTTGACCAAAATTTTGTTTAGCCCATGGCTGGAGATGGGTTTTGCATTATTTTAGGGCTATATTTGGGATATAGCTCATGGCTGGAGATGGTCTAAATGGCCAAATTTGGCCAAAAAAAAATTTTACCCCATGGTTGGAGATGGGTTTTGTAACAATCCGATCCTTAATTAATTCTTAATTATTATGTTATTCAAGGAAAGGACTAGAATACCCTCAGAATATTTTATTAGGTTTTAAGTTGATTTTTTGATCGAGAAGGAATTTGGGAATTTCGATTTCATTGTTGCGTAGAACGCGACGAAACAAGTCCGTAAACACGTAGTAGGCTCAAATCAAAGTTTTAACGAATGAATTACGATCAAAATACCTTGAGGGGCAAAATCATAATTTAGAGAATCATAAATTTAAAAAATCCAATCTCTTTTTTTCGTTCGAGTCTCTCTATCCGAGATCTTCCCGACCCCCCCCCCCTAAACTAGTCACCACCGGCCACTGCAGGCCACAACTCCGCCACCACCTTATACGGCCAGACCCTGCCATCATGTCGCACCTCCTTCCCACCACGAACCGCCGCCAACTCGTCGAAAATGGCTCGAAACTCGACTGATTTTGACAGAAAACCTCCAACGTTCGATCTTTCTCCTCCGGCCACCATTTCCGGCAACCAAGGTATGAAATCTCAGCTATTTTTCATGCTTTAGCTGATGGTTGGGTAGGATTTGAGAAATTTCTAACCTAGGTGAGTTGATTTTGGATCCAAAGTTTAGCCGGTTTTGATATCGTAATTTCGGCCACTTCAGGCCAGTTTTTAGGGTAGGTCTAAGAACAAAAGTTTCTCCAACTCATGTCATGAACCTAGGGGAGGAAGCTGGGCTTACGATTTCAGAGTTTTCCGATCATCGGAATTGATCAAGCCACCCACGCGCTGCCAGCGGCGCGTGGGCAACATGGTGGGGACCACATTCAGTCCTAGAATAATCCATTAGTCCTCACGAGTGCGTAGGTACTCGCAGATTTCAATTTAGACAACGTTTAAATCCCGAACGGATCTCGCCTAGTGTGCGATTTCCGGGTTCGATACATTTGAACCGTTGGATCGTAGTCATTTTCAGATATGTTGATCTAGATAATGGCAGGATCATACAGGATTCAACAGATCGTAAAACGGAGTCTCGGTTACTCCAGAAACGCCAACCCTAGGGCTAGGTTTATAGTAACCGCCCGATCGTGCAATCGTGGTTAATCCGACCGTCCAATCGAGACCAAACTCTTAGGACATGTGTCCTAGAAATATTGGAACCTTTAGGGACTCCCGGATTTGTGATAGGAGGATGTGGGCCCCGTGGACCCAGTTGACCAAGTTAAGGCGGTTAGATCCCTCGGTTGACCGTGAGCCTCCCGATGCAATTATATCCTTGAGCAGTGATAAAATGACCATGTAAACGAGTCTTGACCAAAACTGAGTTATCTAAGTCATGTTACGGGTTTTATAGATAGTTATTTATAGGTTGCGGCCCGGATAGAAGGGGTATCTCCAAGGCCTGCGAGGAATGCAGCTGAGGCCTACGAGGATTGCAGCACGAATAGAACGGGTATCTCCGAGGCTTGTGAGGAATGCAGCTGGGGCCTACGAGGGTTGAAGCTCGGATGGAAGTGGTATCTCCGAGGCCTGCGAGGATTGCAGCCCGGCCTGCGAAGATGAAGTTGACGGTATTAGTGGAAGTAATTGATCAGGAATGGGGGTATGCCTAAGTAGAGAGAATATCAGTTATGAGATATTCTTAAACTAAACTAAAGGGAGTTTAGCATATGGCATATTTATATTCAGTATATGACTGATATGAGTATAGGAAAGAACTACGTGTGGCTTGATCTCTCAGTAAAGGTACGTAGGCAACCTTATGTTACAAGGTGCAACCACAAGTTGGAGTCTTTGAGATTGCTAATGAACTATGAATATTCTGAAAGTTGAGATGAACTTATTTTGCATAATGTTTTACTTGATTTGTGGAGGCCTAAGGCCAAAATTATATGATGCTTGATATTTGGATATAATTCGATACATTTTGGCAGTTGGGTTATATATATACATACATGCTTGTTTTACAAGTGGGAACTTTTAGGAAATGTCCAATTTATCGAGGAGACTCTGCCGAATTTTCGGCAAAAGTCGCACTTTAATTTCTTGGAATTTTGGTTAGAAGGGCATTTTGGTAAATTGTGTCCGGCATTCGCCAGGTGTCAAACACGCACAGGATTCGACTCGAATTCCAAAGTGAAATTTGGATCGGGTTCTTTCAGGTTTTGTATTATTTTAGAATTATATTTGGCCTATGACCCATGGCTAGAGATGGCCTAATTACAATAAGACTATCTAAAAAGGAAAGTAAATGAAACCTTGAATAAAAAGGAAAACAAAAATTACCTATCGGAGAGGGGGAAAATCTCTATATAAACACAACAACTTAAGGTTAATCTCACAACTTGCAAAGCTTTCCTTTTGAGATTCTTGAAGCTTCAAATTAATCTCTCTCTTAGTTTTCGTTGCTAGATTAAGCTTTGTGGATTGCTTTCTCTTTAATCTCTCACTCATAGAGAAAATATGATCAATAAGGGGAATTATCAAAGGAGTTATACACAAGTTCCTAGAGTCTGGGCTTCAGGTAAAAAGGTCAAAACTAAAACTCTAGATATGGTTACCGGAATTATTAATTATGAGCAATATATAGTATCAAACTCTGTTCACCAAATAAAGTTTCAATCATTCATTAATTAAAATATATTACTTCAATATGCATTTTTTTTAGCTGATATCATGTTATAGGAACTTCTAGGATATAATATAGTGGTATGTGTAACACAAGGTTCATATGTTATGTAGCGTATAGTCTAGATAAATAAATACGCTGAAGGAAACATTTTGCATCTTATATCTTTTTCTTGGAAATGAATTTAGCCGCAACATATAACACATAAACATTCATAATGGCAGATTGATTATGCTTATTCTAGTTAAGCTAAGCTTTTTTTCATTTTAACCCAAACATCTTATGACAGGACCCGACTCAAATTCCACTTTGGAATCCAAGCCGAACCCTATGCGTGTCCGACACCTGGAGGGTGCTGGGCATAAATGACCGAATTGCCCTTCTAGTTAGTTAAAATCCAATTTATTATATGTTTGACTTCTGCCAAAAATTCGGTAGAGTCTCCCCTGTAATTTGATCATTTCCCAAAATTTCCACTTGTACAAAAAGGTAATACACATATATAAATTCCCAACTGTTCAGCATGCATCTATTGACATCCAGACAATTCAACCAAAGATAAACGGCCTCAGACCATACAGTAATCCTAGGGCAATATCAGAGCAACTAGTCCAGAAATCTACAACAGAACAATTCGAATACAGAAGAAATCCTACATAAACAAAAGGTAGAGTGGAGTGTGGTGTCTGTCCTGTGGTGGCGCTCTGGTACACGTCTACTGCCTGGGAGCGCAAAACATTTAAAAATGTAAGTGGACAAAAATAAAGTTTTAGAAAATAGAATATGAATATACTAACCCCTCTGTAAAAATAGTTAGAAAACTCAATTACATACACGTACTATTCTCGTACTGAAAACAGGCACGCATATTTATATTTATATAGTAATTCACACATTTACAAAATTCTCACATTAGTTCAAACTTTGAAAATAAAGATTTCCCTACCACCTAGGTGTACCCTTATTATATCTGTCAATTCCTTTATTTTTCGTCAATTCCTCATGCCACCTAAGCGACACGTCCTCACAGGCCTCAGGAACACAAAGTAACCCGAGCCGCAATCCTCGCATAATTCAAGGGACATTTAGTCAACCTGATCCGCATTCCTCGCTACACACGGTTTATTATATCAAATGTGTGGGGCATTGTCAAACGTGCGCTGACTCAACTGAAGGCAACTATTATGTCCTTGGACATTATCATTGAGACGACCTGACCCAATTTCCACTTTGGAATCCGGATCGAATCCTGCTTAAAATTGACACCTGGTGACTGTGGGTCGTAAGTGACCAAAATGCCCTGAAAAACAATAACACAAACCTTGAGCCCCTAACTTGTGGCTGCGCCTGATAACTGTAGGTTGCCTACATACCCTGACTGAGGGATCAAGCCACACGTAGTTCTTTCCTTTGTTCCTGACCTATAACTGGTTTGTTTTACCGTAAACCTCACTCTAGGGCTGACATTTTTGGAGTATCAGGGACTCCGTTTTACGATCCGTCAAATACTATACGATCCTGGGAAAGTCTAGATTAACATACTTGGAATTAACTACGATCCAACGGTTCAAACGCATTGAACCCGGAAATCGCACAGTAGGCGAGATCCGTTCGGGGTTCAAACGATATCCGAATTAAGCTCCGTGAAATCCTACGCGCCCGCGAGGACTAAGAGATCATTCTATGACTGACTGTGGTCCCCACCCTGCTGCCCACGCGCCGCCACACGTGCTGGCAGCGCGTGGTGCCTAAAGCGATAACGCCTCGCCGGAAAAACTCAACATCTAGGCTCAAGACTCCCATCCTAGAAATTTCCAGCGTAGATAACTCGATCTTGGATCCTATCCAACCAGCAGCTAGGCCTCGAGAAATAGATGAGTTTCCATACCTGGATCACTAGAAATGGTGGCCGGATGACGGAGAACGAGTTGACGAAAGTTTATGAAAAAAACCGTCCAACACCGCCTGTTTCTTGGCTGTTTTCGGCTACCACGGCGGCGGATCGGGGCAAAAGTTTGGGGCTGGAAGAGGGAAGTGTTGTGGTTCTAATTAAACTGGTCTTTGATAAGTCCAATATACTCATTTATGTACTCTTTTTACTTAGGTTTTGTAGGAGAATTAGATTTAAAAAGGGCTTATTACTTTACTTTTCTGATTTTCAGCTTTTCTGCGCTCTTAGAAGGTTTTTAAGGAAAAATCAACTTTTTGGAGGAATTTTAGCGCAAGGCCAAGTGGAGATGAAAGCTAACATCTTGAAGTTCAATCTGTGATTTTTCTAGAATTTTCTACCAAGCCAATTGGTACAGTATTACAAGTAAAGTTAGCCCACGTGCAGACAAGACGGTTTCGTACATGTTATGTGAATGTGAAGAACGGAAGCCTTCCCGAATTTTCCAAGTTACGTGCTATATATGGTTGGAAAGATAAGACATTTATCTTTCTAAAATATATTTTTAATGATTTTTCTACTAGGCCGAAGATCCCCAAATCGTGTGACAATTGGGCTGAGCTGTATTTCCCTATGGAGTTAGGAATTGTGATTTTTACTTTCCTATTTGGATTCCTTGTTTACCAAGACTTCTTGGACGACTCTCAGTCAATTTTAGGGTTTATAACTTTGATATAAGTGATATAAAAGGCCAACCAAGGCCCCGATACAGGGGATTCACGTCCAAAAGGGATCAACCGTGTAAGAGGAGAAAGCTGCCAACGAGTTCTTTCTTTTCCTTTCTTCTTTTAAGTTTCAGTTCTTATGTATTTATTTTTGAGTTCATCCAAGAGCATGAGTAACTAATTTCTTGTTAGTTAGGGCTTAATCTTGAAGCCCTAAACATGATTTCAATTCTATAAACAAGTTTGAATGGATTTTCAGTTTCTACAAGCGTGATGATTTCGGTTTCTCTACGTTATGTGAATTCTGATATTTTGTTTCTTTGAGTAGCTAACTTTGAAGCATGTATTGGAATTAAATTGTTGTAGAACATAGGTCAATTGCCATATTGAATGTGTTCTTGTTTGCAACGAATAATTGGGTTAAGAACTAGTTATGAGAATTCGATTCTTGAATTCCTAATAACAAATGCCATGTTTTAGGGTTTTTGTGACACTCATATTCTCTTTGATCTTAATGGATTCTTGATTGTTAATTTGAGTAAATGCCATACTAGATTTCAATTAAGAATACACGTATTGATGTAAGTGTCATACACTTTACATGCACTTAAGAGAGAATCATACAACTCTAGTCAAATGCCATGATCTTGTTGTGAGTGTCGTCATCATATGCTTGCTAGAAATTGATTATCTATTATTGTTTATGGATTGATTGATTGGTTAGAGGTGGATAGTGAGTCCTAGCTATTGTTCTTGATTGATTATAATCCAATTTCTCTTAAACTCTAATTTAAATGCTGTTTTGTTTTGTTTTCCTTATTTTGTTTTATTCACAAAATCAAATCAAAACCCCCCTTGGTGTTGGCGTGTGTGTGGAAGTCCTTGTGTTTTCGTTGCATGACATTGATAAACATCTCTCTAGATTACAATCTCTGTGGGAATGACCCTTGCTTGCTTACTATACTATCATTTGATTTGTGCACTTGCAAGGTTTAAATATTGTTGTTAAAAATTACCAACAAGTTTTTGGCACCGTTGCCGGGGATTGTCAATCTAATTGAGTTTTGTTTTCAATTTTCTGGTATATGCTGGGTCGTCGTTCGCAGAGTCACGAGCTTATACCATACAACCCTGAACTAGGGAACACACTTCGTTATCTCCGTCGAGATAAAAATAAGCAAGATACACTTCCAATCAAGATGGGAGACGCGTTGGAGCTTAACAACCTCACCCGACCTTTGAAGGATTTCACGGTTCCTAAAGCATTGGACCAGCCGTCTTGCATTGCATATCCAGCCACTACAACCACCTTTGAGATCAAGAGTGGCACCATTCACCTTTTGCCACAATTCTGTGGCAAGGTTGGGGATGATCCTCACATACATATCAAGGATTTCTTTGCTGTGTGCGCGACTATGCACAATGGAGGGATTAGTGATAAGGCAATCAGATTGCGTTTGTTGCCATTCTCACTCAAAGAACGAGCCAAGTAGTGGCTCTATTCTTTACCTAGTGCATCTATCACCACATGGACAACATTGGCTTCCAAGTTCCTTGCAAAGTTCTTTCCAGCTCAAAAGACAAACCATATTAGGAAGGAGATCATGGGAGTGCAGCAACTAGATGGAGAATCATTTCATGAGTATTGGGATCGGTTTCAAAGACTCCTAGCTTCGTGCCCTCATCACCAAATTGAAGATTGGCTACTTATGCAATACTTTTATGAGGGATTACTTGATTCGGAGAGGATGATGGTTGATGCTACTAGTGGAGGAGGCTTGATGAACAAGAGTGCTACTCAAGCTAAGGAGATGTTTGAGAACATTGCAGCAAACTCTCAACAATTTAATTACCGGAGAGCTCCCCCAAAGAAAGCAGGTGTTTATGAGGTAAGTGCTAGTGATATTGGTCCTCAAATAGCTAATTTGACTAACCTTGTTAAGCAATTAATCCCTCAAGCACAAGTGTGTGCCGTGTGTGCTAATCCCGGACATCCTACAGAATCTTGTCCAAGTTTGTATGGTGATGGAGAAGAGATGGCTCAAGCACACTATATGCAGCAACAAAAGCCAAGAAACGATCCATTTTCTAACACCTATAATCCGGGATGGCGGCAACACCCTAACTTTGGATGGAAGAACAACCAAAATATGTAAACAGCCCCAGTTCAACAAAATCAGTTTGTTCCTCAACAAAATGCACCACCTCCTCATGGGCAAGGTAAGTCTTTAGAAGAGTTAATTAATTCTTTGGTATTAAGCACTCAAGGTTTTATGCAGGAAACAAGGCAAACACGGGCACAAATGTCTACAGCAATCAAGAGCTTTGAAAACCAAGTTGGACAAATTGCAGCCTCCTTGAGTCAAAAAGAGCCAAGAAAGTTTCCAAGCCAAGTCATTCCAAATCCTAATGGAGGCCATGAAACAGCAAAGGCGATTACTCTTTGAAGTGGAAAAGAGGTGGCAAATGTTGACAAGGATGAGAGAAATTCAACCAAAACAGTGGCTGCCCCCTTTTCCAAGCTTACGGTTCCAAGTGACAACTCTAAGGTAAGTTCTCTTGTGAATCATTCGATTCCTCCAAAAGTTCCTTTTCCTCGTAGGTTTTTGAATTCAAAGAAGGAGCAAGTTTCAAAGGATATCCTAGAGACTTTCCGAAAAGTGCAAGTGAACATTCCCTTGCTTGATGCGATCCAACAAATTCCAAGCTATGCAAAATTCCTCAAAGACCTTTGTACAAATAAGAGAAAATTCAAGGAGCATGAAACCGTGGCCTTGAGTAAAGAAGTCTCAGCTGTGCTATTGCGTAAATTGCCTCCTAAACTAAAGGATCCAGAGAGTTTTACTATACCTTGTCTCATTGGAAATCAAAGGTTTGAACATGCTTTATTAGACTTAGGTGCTTCAATTAATTTGATGCCTTTTTCTGTTTTTGAATCTTTAAATTTAGGTGAGCTTAAGAAGACTTCCGTGAGCATACAATTGGCTGATCGATCAATCAAGTATCCTAAGGGAGTGTTGGAAGACGTTTTGGTCAAGGTGAATGAGCTAATTTTTCCAACTGACTTTCTAGTGCTCGAGATGGAGGAAGTTCCTATTCCTGGAAAAGACCTTCCATTGATTCTAGGACGTCCATTCATGAGAACAGCAAGGACAAAAATTGATGTGTATGAAGGCACTCTCACAATGGCATTCGATGAGGAAACCGTGGAGTTTAAGGTATTTGCTGCTTTAAAATATCCTAACGATGATCATGCTTGTTTTTCCATAGATGTACTTGAACAAATGGTACAAGAAACATTTAGTGCATCACAAGGAGAGACGCCATTGGAGAGGGCACTCATCCAAAGCCCCGAAACAGTGAATAAAGAAGGGAACATAGATGTACTTGAAGCTGTGAATATACTTGAGGCCTTGCCTCCCCAAAGAGGTTAGTTTAACTCTATTTTTAAGCCTCTTCCATTATCTACTAATAAGCTTGTTCCCTCTATTGTGAAGGCACCACAAGTTGAGCTAAAACCCTTCCGAAGAACTTGAAATATGCATATTTAGGTGACAAAAAGACGCTGCCTGTGATCATTGCTTCTAATTTGAGTGCATCCGAAGAAGACAAACTAATTCGAGTTCTAAGGGAGCACAAGACTGCCCTAGGTTGGACCATTGCAAACATCAGAGGAATAAGCCCTACAAAGTGCATGCATAGGATCCTTTTGGAAGAAGAATCGAAACCTACAAGGGAAGCCCAAAGGAGGCTGAATCCGGTGATGAAAGAAGTCGTTAAGAAGGAAGTTTTGAAGCTTTTGGACGTGGGAATTATATACCCCATTTCGGATAGCAAGTGGGTGAGTCCCGTCCAAGTTGTTCCCAAGAAATCCGGAATTACCGTTGTGAAGAATGAAGACAATGAGTTGGTGCCTCAAAGAATTCAAACGGGTTGGAGAGTATGCATAGATTATAGAAAGCTCAATACCACGACACGTAAGGATCACTTTCCGTTACCATTTATTGATCAAATGCTTGAGCGTCTTGCAGGTCATAGTCATTATTGCTTCTTGGATGGATACTCCGAATACAATCAAATTGCCATAGCTCCGGAAGATCAAGAAAAGACCACCTTCACTTGTCCATTTGGTACGTTTGCTTATAGGCGTATGCCTTTTGGTTTATGTAACGCACCTGCCACTTTTCAACGTTGCATGATGTCAATTTTTTCTGATATGGTGGAGGAGATAATAGAGGTATTTATGGATGATTTTTCAGTTTTTGGTGATTCTTTTGATATTTGTCTTCACAACCTCTCTCTAGTGTTGAAAAGGTGTCAGGAATGCAATTTAGTGCTCAATTGGGAGAAGTGTCACTTCATGGTACAGCAAGGTATTGTATTAGGTCACATTATCTCTTGTAGGGGAATTGAAGTGGACAAGGCAAAAATCGATGTTGTGAGAAGCTTGCAACCCCCCACAACCGTGAAGGAGATTAGGTCATTCCTAGGACATGCAGGGTTCTATAGGCGTTTCATCAAGGACTTTTCAAAAATATCAAGGCCCCTATGTCGATTGCTTGGCAAAGATGTGGAATTCGAGTTTAATGAAGAGTGCTTGGCTGCATTTAACAAGCTTAAGGAGCTTTTAACGTCTGCCCCTATTATACAACCTCCAAATTGGAATTTTCCCTTCGAGTTGATGTGTGACGCCTCGGATTATGCAGTGGGGGCTGTACTTGGACAAAAAGTGCACAACGTACCACATGCCATCTATTATGCCTCCCGGACTTTGAATGATGCTCAGTTGAATTACTCAACTACGGAAAAGGAGTTGCTTGCTATTATTTTTGCTTTAGAGAAATTTAGATCATATCTTATTGGCACTAAAGTAATTGTATTCTCTGATCATGCAGCGCTTAGGTACCTCTTCCAAAAGAAGGACGCACAAGACTGATTAGGTGGACTCTCTTGCTTTAAGAATTCGATTTGGTGATTAGAGACAAGAAAGGGAGTGAAAACGTGGTGGTTGACCATTTGAGTAGGCTTGTGCAAGGATCCAATGAAGAAGAGGACGTGCTTCCTTTACGTGAAAGTTTCCCCGATGAGCAACTCTTCACCCTCAAAGCCAAGGACCCTTGGTACGCTGACATTATCAATTACAAGGCTTCAAAACTGATTCCGGAGGATCTCACTCGAGCTCAAAAGGATAAGCTTGTCAAAACGAGTAAGTAATATGTTTGGGATGATCCATACTTATGGAAATATTGTCCATATCAGATTGTTAGAAGGTGCGTGTCCGAATCTGAATTTAATTATATACTTACCTTTTGTCATTCATCTGCATGTGGTGGACATTTTGGTCCTAAGAAAACAGCCCTTAAAGTATTGCAATGTGGTTTTTATTGGCCGAGCTTGTTCAAAGATGCATATACTTATTGTTCCACATGTGATAGATGTCAAAGAACTGATAACATTAGCTCTATGAATCAAATGCCTTTAACGCCTATCTTTATTGTTGAAATATTTGATGTGTGGGGTATTGATTTTATGGGACCTTTCCCTTCCTCTTATGGCTTTATTTACATTCTCCTTGCTGTTGACTATGTCTCTAAATGGGTGGAAGCAATTCCTACCCGGACTAATGATTCAAAAGTTGTTTTGAGCTTTGTGAAGGAAAACATTTTTTCTAGGTTTGGAACACCAAGAGCCATTATCAGTGATGGAGGCACTCACTTTTGCAATAGGTCATTGGAGGCACTTTTAAAGCGGTATGGAATTACACATAGGGTCTCGACACCTTATCATCCCCAAACAAGTGGACAAGTGGAGATTAGTAACCGAGAAATCAAGCAAATCTTGGAGAAAACCGTGAGCCCTACGAGAAAGGATTGGAGTTTGAGACTTAATGAAGCATTATGGGCATATAGGACAGCTTACAAAACCCCCATTGGTATGTCTCCTTTTCGTTTGGTTTATGGTAAAGCATGTCACCTTCCGGTTGAGCTTGAACATAGAGCATTTTGGGCAATCAAGAAATCCAATTTCGATATGAAAGAGGCTGGAGATGCAAGGCGACTCCAATTGAATGAATTGGATGAGATGAGGAATGATGCTTATGAGAGTGCACGGATTTACAAGGAAAAGACGAAGGCATTTCATGACAAAGCCATTCAAAGGAAGACCTTTGAAATAGGGCAGAAAGTCTTGCTCTTCAATTCACGCCTTCGGCTATTCCCAGGTAAGTTACGTTCTAGATGGTATGGTCCTTTTGTTGTTACTAATGTTTTCCCTCATGGTGCAGTTGAGATTCAAAATGACAAGATGGGAAACATATTCAAAGTGAACGGACATCGCTTGAAGCCATACTATGAATCTTTTGAGCTTGGAAAAGAGAGCATGCTTGTGGATGCACCACCCCCATCTATTGTTTAATCATCTAAAGAACCGCGTCTGGCTGAAGACTTTAAACTTAGCGCTTCTTGGGAGGCAACCCAACCATTCTTAACTTTTGTTTTAGTTTATGTGTGATTTCTCGTAAATTTTCAAATTTTTGTTTTTGTTATGTTTTGCGTCATCAAACAATGGATTTTGTGTTCCAAAGAAAAATTTTCACATTTTTATAGCCCTAGGGTGTTTGCAGCATGTTTCAAATGTGTTCCAGAAGTTTTTTTGGTCATTGGCTGAGTTTAGATACCAGAAAATAGAAAAATAGCTTTTATGTTCTTATTTTGGTCAAAACTAGAATTTCTGCCTAATTTATTTTTTGCTGTTTTTCAGGTTAATCCGATGCCACCAACATGTTTAGAATGGTTATTCTGACGATTTGGACAAAGTTTGGGGGCCTCTAGTGACCTACATTATGTTTTAGGATGATTTGAAGCTCAAAAAAGGTCCTAAAACACTAAAAACAGCAGCTGCTGTTCTGCCCAGAATTTGAAGATTTTTCGTCACCAAAGAGGTTTTAGCGACGGTGTTCATCAGATTTTTCGTCACTAAAGAGTTTTTTGCCGCAGTGCTCATCAGATTTTTCGTTGCTAAATGTCAGATTTCCAGATTTTCATGATTACATATCTAGCTCAATTTCATCACATTCCGAGACTTTTAGGAGCTATTACTAGTCCGTTGGCATTCAAAGACACAAGTTGTGGGTGTTTGAGTTCGTTGCCTTGTTTATCTCCTCTCACTTCAACAAATTATTGCCCCTCCGCACACCTAGAAAACCCGGGAAGTCCTCAAACCCTCTCTCTCTTTAATTGATTATCCATTAATTTATTTCTTTATTTTACACATTGAGGACAATTCTTCATACCCCCAACGCTTCTTAGCAAATCATAAAATGGGATATCGAATTGAGTCAGTATGACCTCCTCTACCAGTCAAAGACTACTATAAAAACCCAGGCTTTAGCAGATTTCATTGCAAAATTCACTCAATTCTCAACCAAAGAAGTGAAACTGGTCAACAAAAGAAAGGAAAGTTCGAGAGCAGACGAGACCTCCTTCGTCGAACCTGACCTACCCAATGACATGTGGCAGTTGCACGTAGACAGAGCGTCAAATCACAAGGGAGATGGAGCATGCGTGGTCATAATCACCCCAAATGGAACTTTGTTGGAGCAAGTCATCACATTGGGTTTTCCAGCCTCAAACAACGAAGTAGAGTACAAGACATTGCTCATTGGACGAAGCGGAGTTGTCAAGGTTGGTCATCTATTTAAATTCCCAGCTCATCACCAATCAAGCTTCAGGAGAGTACATGGAAAACACCGGAGTATGATCCAGTATCTTGATAAAGTCCAAGAGCTTTTGAAGGCATTCTCTACCTTCACCATCCGAAAAGTTCCCCAGCTTGAAGAAGCGATTCATGTTGTCAAAGCAAATGATAGCACGGTAGACGTTTGGAGTACACTAATTAAGAGCACACCCCATGGCATGGAACACCCTCTTGAAGAACCGCGACATCAGGAATCAGAAGCCCAAAGAGAAGTAGAACGGGTAGAATGTGATGATCCTTGCATCCAAATCGTTCGAGTCCGTAAAAGCCACATGGTCCGTTGAAGGCTTCCCCAACCTAACATGCATGTTATTCGGTATGGCAAAAGCAAAACTGGCATGCCACTTCTGAAACTAGGCCTCAGTCGTGACGCGATGCAAATTTGCCACAAACCTCCTTTTATGAACTCGAGAACAGCCCCATAAGTACATGGGCACTTGAGAAACCTAATGATCGCTTCCCTTCTCAAATGACATGATGGCTGAACAACTACAGAAGGGAAGAAAAATCGCTAGTCAGTTCAAAAGTTTAAAATAAAATAAAAAAATTTAGCTTGCGGTAGAATATATACACATATAAAGGCCTTGCAGCCCAAGCCGCAACCTTCTAGCAAACCATGACACAACCCACTTCCTAGCAAGCCATTATTGAACCAAAAAAATTCAAACAATTTTTTTTGTTGTTGCCAAGTTTCTATCAATCAAAGCCCAAGTCCTACAAACCTTATCTAATCTAAAATGATAAGTGCAAAAAAAAAATTATAAAAGGGCGGCTGACCATTATAAAATAATAAATAAATAAAATTCCAGTCATACAAGTTTATTTGGATGGGATTGAAATATTCCTCCCTGCAAGTTTATAAAAAAAAATATAAGTATTTGCCAAGTATCAAACACTAAAGGATAAGCATCCCATATAAGAGGTGACTATTGACTTCAACTCAAATTCCTCACATTGAGGCCTATAAAAAGGGGTACATGGCTAGGAGAAAGGGGGGAGGGGCAGCCGGGAGGCTATAGAGAGATACAAAAATTAAAAAAGAAGCGGCAAGGCTTGGGGAAGAATGGGGCACAGCCATGTTGAAGAAATATGACAAAGGCAATCCCATATGCAACCGTCCATCTCAAAGGGTGACTATCTTAGCACATTTTCGGAGTTGTCACATTAATGGTTGACTTGCTGGGCCAAGAATCCATATTTTTTATTGAAGTAGCACAACATGGAGCCGTGCTGAAGAAAAATGACAGAGGCAAACAAAGCTCCTTTCTTGAAGTCATCCATGTTGGGTGGCAACCCTTTAACCAATCAAATGGATGGCAATCTATGTGGGGTGGCAACCCTTGAATCAAATTTATTGGATGATAAATCCATGTTGGGTGGCAACCATTTAATAATCATTTGGATGCAAATCCATGGGTGAGAAATCCTGATTAGGATGCAAATCCATGGGTGAGTAACCCCGAAATTATTGGATGGCAATCCATGTTGGGTGGCAACCCTTTAATAAATCATTTGGATGCAAATCTATGGAAAAGCAACCTGAAAAATCATTGGATACGAAATCCATTCTTGGGTGAGAAACCCCGAAATTATTTGGATGCAAATTCAAGGGTGAGAAACCCCAAAATCATTTGGATGCAAATCCACAGGCGAGTAACCCCGAAATTATTGGATGACAAATTCATGGATGAGTAACCTGAAGTTATTGGATGATAAATCTATCATAGGTGGAAAATCCATAAATTTTCATTGGATGATAAATCTAATTTGGGTGGAAAGAACCTATGAATCAAATATGCGGATGAAGCATGTACGGATGAAATTTCCTTATAAATATATATTATGCACAAGCTGTTGAAGAAACACAAGGTCTCCAACATGGACTTAGATTTAGTTTCTGCTTCAAGAATTCCACTCAACAAAATTGGGGCCAATGTAAAGATGTTGTGCACCCTTTTTTTAATAGGAATTCTCACAACAAGCATTAAAAAAAAGTCCTAAGATTTCTATTTGAATTACTGGCTGCTAAAGAGATCAGAATACTGATCTATGCAAAGACCAAATTCTCAAACCAAAGCTTGAAGGGTCCAACTTGTTCAAATTACTATTGCTGCCAGCAGCAAGGAAAAAATGGTGCTTGTCACTTCGCTACAGGACTTGCCTATTTACCAAATATCTTTAAATGGTTTTCAAGTATCATGACAATTTGAAAAACCCAAGGAGATTTAGTCCATGTCATATGGCAAACCAAATGGTCATGCCTTATGGAATGAACACATCCCACATAAATTAGTGGAAAAGAGTAATCAACAATTAGCAAGCTGATAAAAACCGAGGACACTTAGTTTCAAACTTCAACCAAATAAATTGTCAAGAATTTTTTTCTCCTCATGGCAAGCAAATGGTTATTAATTAGCACTTGTTCCTAAATCAAAGGCATGAACAAAGCCTCACCGTCAAACAAAACAAGGTCTTGGACTTGGTGGTGTTCTTTATTAAGCTCTCAAGCTGCTGATTTAACTTAGAAAGCCAAGATGGCAAAGAGGAACAATTCACTCTCAGGTTTGCAAAATAAGTCACCATGGAATAAGCAAAATTCCATTGTCAATGACAATTGGGAAGTGGCGAAGAGTGTCAACAAAGGGTCATGAGAACTAAATCAATTGACGATCAAGGAGGCTCAATGAAATGCTTATGGCATTCAGGTCTATCTGCATCAATTCTCAAATGCAAGATGGGTACCAACATGCCCACAAAATCCCAACAAGAAATATGGGAACCAATCACTGTGGCAAAGAAGCTATTTAGAATGGAGTGTCAAGTGACTCAACCATGCTGTGACGGTAACTCCAATCCAAATAAATGATTGGTCATGCTTCGAGCATCAAGCTCAATTTCAAAAGATACCAAAGGAGCATCAATATGAATAACGGGTTTATCAATCACAAAAGCCCATTAATCTCAAATCCTCCAAATCATGCATGGATACAAATGCATGTGCCAATAATCAAATTAAATTAGTGGGTTCATTAAAATTGCCCATTAGTTTTCTTTGTTATTGACAATAAGAAAAATGGTACAAAACCATCCAATTTTTCCCATGGGTCATCTACCCATGCAAATTTCAATGAGATTAAATTCAAATTTCTCAAACAAAAATTCTCAATTAGTGGACCACACTTACCCATTAATTTCCATTTTTTTTTCCATGGGTCATCTAATGAAAATCTTCAAATTGTCTCAAAGACACAAATTCTAAATTAGTGGGCCACACTTATCTATTAATTTCCGATTTTTGAAACTATGTCAATTTGATCTCGTCAAGGGTACGTAGGCAATCTAGCATTCCAATAGACGCAACCACAACCGAATTTGAATCCCTGGTTTATCCTAACCAAATTCACCAAAAGCTCTTTTCCAAGTGCAAATGTCAATTATAGAAAATTAGTGAGTTCATCAAAATTGCTCATTATTTTTCTTGGACATTGAAAATAAGAAAAATAGTACAAACCCATCCAATTTTTCACATGGGTCATCTACCCATGCAAATTTCAATGAGATTAAATTCAAATTTCTCAAACAAAAATTCTCTATTAGTGGGCCACACTTACCCATTAATTTCCAATTTTTTTCCATGGGTCATCTACCTATAAAAATCTTCAAATTGTCTCAAAGACACAAATTCTAAATTATTGGGCCACACTTACCCATTAATTTCCACATCTTGGAACTACATTGATTTGATCTCATTAAAAGTACGTAAGTAGTCTAGCATCTCAATAGACGCAACCACATGAATCCTTGGTTTATTTTAACCAAATTCGGCCCAAACACAATTCCATATTGAATCCCTGGTTTATTCAGCTAAATTCACTCAAACATTCTCAATACAATTCAAATCAAATTTTCCTCACAATGATTCATTTATTCATTGCTATTATTCGAACTACAAGTGGCTCGATTCCCACGATGGATATGTAGGCACCCTGAGGTTGGACTTGGGAGTAACCGTAAAACCAAACACACACGTTAGGTTTCTTTATGATGGAATCAAAGGGTGTTCCCATGAAGCAAGTAATTGTAATTAAGAGACACCGGTTCTCGAATGGGTCGAACCTAAAATAATAAAATTCCGTTATTTAATTAGTGGTGGTCAAATTATGTTGGGAGGTTCATATTTTTTCTTCAACAGCCATGACGCAGCCCAGCTCAACAAATAAAAAAGAGTCGCACTGCCCAAACCGCCAACAAGGCCCAAGCCACAAACGCCACTTGAACCAGCCCATGGCTAGGCCCACGCTAGCACCACGCATACACAGCCAGTCAGGGCTTGGCCCACGATGCAACAACAGAGGTATAAAATAAATAAAAAATATATAGCAACAGCAATCGCCGAGAACCAATGTGGCTGTCGCTTCAGCTCTAAGCCTACGCTCCATCTGCTGCCAACTATCCCATTGACAACCAGCCAGTTGGTTATGGTTTCCCAAACCGGACAACAAATCCTCGCCAAGAAGCTTGAAAAAATAAATAATAAAAAATATTTTTTGGCTTACCTTGGTGCGCACAGCAACTCCTCTCCTCGACAAGCAATACACCCTTCCAAAATCTCTCTCACAAGCTAGAAAATAGAGGAAGACAAGTTTGCAATTTGGAGAGGAGTGAAGAGAAGCTTTGTATTTATAATGGTTGGGTATCATAAGTCAAGGAGGAATCAAAAGCCTACTCCAATTAAGAGCCCAACTCACAAAAGGAGCTCAACCTACAAAGGAAGCCCGAAAGCAATTGGAAAGCCCGATGAGTATTTCACATCTCCTCCCTACCACATACACGCCATACAGAAGCTAGGGGCATTTGTGGGAACATAAAATTCAGCGACCAATGAATGGGTGACACGTGGAAAAAGGAAATTCCTTAGGTCAAATAATAGGGAAATTATATTTGATTTAAGATGGGAATATCTCCCGAAATTAAGGATGAGATTTCCACCAAATCTCCTTGATTAATTTCAATCTCCTATTTTTGGGTTAGAATAATCCTAATCATATAGAGATTATTCTTCAAACCCTAGCCTACAAGGAGTTTATAAATAGATGGTTACACAACACACTTGAGGTAATTCTAAACTCAATTCTAAAACCCTAGAAAAATTCCCACTCTCTCTCTCACAACACTCTTTCTCCCCTTTCTCCTTCACGACCATGTACCACCACACACAGCTTCGGCCACCCAGCTCTCCCCGTGAGAAAAGACCTCCATCATTTTCATTATCTCCGCATTTTTT